TTCGCAAATTGTTTACTGCATTGATTGAATCGAGTTTCAGGCACGTGACTGAGCGCGTGATTAAGAGAAAACAATCGTTTGAGAGTCGTAGTGCTCCCAGAAACAAAGAGTTGTTGAAAACAAAATTGTTCCTTACTGTTGATTTTATCATCCCCTAAAAATCGCTCTGGTCATCCGATGGAATAAACTTTTACGCAAATGTTTCGGCCTTTACCGGCTATATGTTATGGCGCTTTATGAATATCTTGCACATGTTTGGTTGTTTACGCGATCGGCGCAATTCGTCTGGCACTGAGTTACATTTTGTGCTTCAAAATACTACAAATATCATCAAAAGTAACCACTCCACATAAAAAAAAGTAATTGAAGTGTCTGCCTTGAATCCTTGCAACTCGTTCGCGGCCAAATGTTTCAACTTTGTTTTTTACGATATAAACACCGATGGGAGGTTCGGTTTTTTACCGTAAGAATGAGAGTACATTGACTGTGTAATGACTAAGCGTTAGGTTCAGTTAACATGCGTGCTGCACACCGGGTTACACGCTACTATGCTGTGCCCGCTATTACGCTAGCTTTTGTATTCGAAGGTTAACACGCTTTGCGTGTTTGCCTGCTCGCGCTTCACTGTTCAACGGCGCAAGCTTTATTTTTTGTAGAGTGTTATAAGAAATAAAAGCATGAGCAAAGTGTGTTTTAGCATGCTCAGCAAGCGTTATAGCCAGTTTCTTTTGTTTTCGATTGGAAGCGTGTTGTGAGCGTGCTATCACCTTCGTCCCTAAAATCATATGGAATGGTATAACTCTGACTCCTTGAATGATTCTCTGCCTTAGCGAAACGAACGACACAAACACGAGAAAACGTAGATCTTCTCTATTTACTTTCAGGGGGTTGTAATCACTTGACAATAATCTCAATGCAAGTTAATAATTTATTCATACATTTTTTCCTATGTTCTTAGGGTTCTGGAAATTGGAGGAAATGTACATACCCTCAATCAAGAAAATGTTGATTCTGCACTGGAAGTTCTACCAGTGTGTGAGAATTTGAAGGTTCTCTCTATTTTCAATTGCAATCTTGAACGAAACTCAAAAGACTACTTTAAAAATTTTTTGAACCTAGAAAAATTGAACCTATGGCAGTGTCACCCACGTTTGTTAAAGTGTGCTAAAAATTCTTTGAATTTGGATTTCAAATGTGAATTAAACCCACTGTCCCCTTTGAGAGACATAATATATGCCTCAAAAGAAAAGCAAGGAACTGCTTTGGATAGAGCAATTTTCAATTGAGTGTCAAAAGTAATCCAAGATTGTGATGGTTTTGCCCAAGTATGCTCTGTGATTGGCCCAGAAATCTTGTGCCACCCTCTCAACCAATCAGATGCAAACCCAAAATCAATCATAACTTTGTTCCTCGCATTTTTCTGCACTTCAGGCCATTTGCATGTATTTACTTTGAGTCCTGATTGGTTCCATGTGATATTTCCCTTTTTCTGACTGGCCATTGCAGTTACTTTGGTTTTGGTTTCACAGTACTCAATTGAAAAGCACTCTGAGTAATACTGCAATTAAACTGGTTCACAGAGACTTTGTCGCCTTAATATTAGACTTGATGTGGTTTTTGTTGTTGTATTTTTTGGCCTTTCCAATTAAGATGAAAATGGAAAAAAATAAATTTCATTCCAGAGAGACATCTGCCCAAAAAGTGAGATGCCTATATGAGGAAATAAAGAAAACCAACCCTAAGTAATTCAGATTTAATCAAATTTTTAACAGATGACAAAATAAACAGGTATTACTTTCTCCTCATCAATTACATGCCTCACTAAAGAAGACAATTGAGCAATATCATTCATGCTCATGCTAAGGCAAAGCTCTGTCATAATTTATTTCTCGACAAGATATTGTAGATGAACATAGAGTGATTTTATCCAACCAATGAAATTGATCATAGACTACTATGCGTTACAAAAATTTTTGGCTTATGTCATGTTTTCCACACACAACATGGGGGTGATCCAACAATCAAACATGCTGCTGGTGTCATACAGGTTTGTTTACATACTGTTTCATGGGTTAAGTAAAATCACGCTAGTTGTTCCTTTTTTAATGTTTCATACAAATTTTGGTTACCTTTTTCCTGCTATGATGTCCTTTGTTGACAAAATTCTCTTGATAAATAGGATACACTGTAAGTGTTTGCAACAAATAAACACTTGTGCACACAACATGTGCAATCCATAATTAATCTAACTAAAAATTCAAGCTGAAATTGCTCATTTAACGAACACAAATGGATAGTTAAAAAAAAAACTGCTCCAGTTGTACTTGAACATGCAACACTTCTATGGAAATAAACATCTTCACTACAAATAATTCAAGCAAATAACTTCAGGTGAAATAGTTTTTTTGGAATTTGTGAAATTTAAAGTGGACCATAGTGCACTAATATACCATAAATCCATTCTACCTTCATACTTACTTGCAACTGTTTGGCTCTAATTATTCAATATTATTTCACAGATCACAGTAAGTAACTCTCCAATTTACCCTTATATACTTTTGAATAAAATAAAGCAGTTGACACCAGATTGAGGAGTCAAGGCTATTTTATTCACTAATTCATTCATAATTGTTGGTAAGATTTCTTTTTATGTGGGTTGCTGTAAACATAAAGGTTTTAAATAAATTCTTTTGCAATTTAAATGTTTGTGTCAATTTTTTAAATTCTACTGCTCTGGAAATGCACTAGATGTGAAACTCTGGAACTCAACAATTCCAAAGGAAGTTTTGTGGACAAATTCATAGGTCTGATGCAAACATGCTTAAGAGGTCACATTCTCTGTTGATGTTCTCTGGCCATGTCTAAGTACAATTCACAATGTGGAGCAAGGGAATTTTGGATATGACTTGAATTAAGCATGCTTCAAAACCCAATTGAAACTGTTAGAATGAACACATGACCCATTAAGTGTTTAACCCTTAAACTCCCATGATCTCATTAGTATTTCTCCTTACTGTCTGTCATATAGTTCTTGTGATGTTAGTTTTGAGAATTTGGTATTGGATCAACTAATAATCCCCTTATCAATAATTTTCTTTATTCTCATCACTTGTCTGCTTGATATTGTATTGATAGTGTAAAGAGAAATTCTGTCTTGGTCACACACGGGAGTTAAAGGGTTAATTATTAGTATTACTCTGTGCCAAATAGCTTGCCTTATTGATTTTATTTAAAATTACAAAAGGTCTTTCTCCTCAAGTTGCCTCCATTTCCAGTCTCTCCACATTTCATAGTGATACTGTTCTGTGATGTTCAATAAGACCCATCCATCACTATCAACTCGCTCTAAGATACTTGCCACATCTATCAACTCTTCTGTGGTCTCCTTGGTCCAAACTTCGAAGGCTCTATCCCACCTGTAATGGAAAAATCTTTGTCTCGACTTCCCTTCCTTACCTGCCTCCAGTAATCAAAATCTACCATTTCTTCTGTTGTCATCACTGCATGGTAACACCCTCTTGGAACATTTATCCCTTTCTCCTTCCTTAGTTTGAAAAGATATTGCTCAGTGATGGGGTTAAGGCCTTGGAATACCTTCCTTTCTTCTTTAGAATAGAGCATCTGTAGGGTTGGAAGCTGTGAAGAAAATCAGTCTCCATTAGGAAAGAAAATCTAATGACACTTGGCTTGTGAAAGACTGTCTTCACCAAATTCGTATTAAAATGCACATTTGGCTTAATTTCATCGGGTAAGTACCACTTACCAAGTATCAGTATGTTAATGATGATATGCTATAAATTAACTCAAGGGACAATGAAAACAACCACATCGTTATGTTAACCCAACAAACAAATTTAGCAATTAAAGGACTATTAATCATTAGATGTATTTATAATAATTTAACTTAAAATTCATTGCAGACACAAGGCAATAAAAACATCCAAAACTAGTCATCAAAGGGAAACAAAACACAAAAGTAATAGTACTAAAATAATAATAATAATAATAATAATTTAATAATAAGAACAATAATGATATTCCCTAAACTACTTGACATGTTAACAAGAACATCTCTGCATAATATAAAATGATTATAATAATAGTAATAATAATAATGATATTCCCCTAAACTACTGGGCATGTTACAAGAACATCTCTGCATAGTATACAACAACAACAACAACAACAGTGGGTAAAAAATAATAATAATGATAATGACGATGATGATAATAATAATAATAATAATAATAATGTAAGAGAAAACCCAAGCAGAAGAAAACCACAGATCACTCACAAATTCTGCATACCTCGTGAGAAGCATCATAAGGAGGCTTGAGGAGCTCATACAAGACCAAATCTTCATCATCTGGTTCACTGGCTGTAAAAAGGCACAACAATGCTTTCTTTAGCAAATAACAAAAAAACAAGGTTTATAGAGATGAATAATTATGGAACAATATAGCAAAAAATTCATATTACAAAAAAAAAGAGACAAAGAGTGAAAATGGTCAACATATTAATTACCTTGAATATTTTTTTCATTTGACAACTCTGTCTTTGTCCCTTAGTTGAATGTCTAATGGCAGAAGAGGGGGGGGGGGGACAACAAATGGATCATCTTCCATATCTTCATAATCCTTCTCAAAATCCCCTAATTCATACTTACCAGGAAAAGCAACACCAAAACCAACAGAAACCTCTTCCATGGTTTTGTCAGGACTAAATGGACTCACTCCTGTTCTGCATTTCTTAATTCCATCTTCACCTATTCTTGCACTGCTGTTTTCACCAGCACAATGTATAAGTCCTGTACCACTTACTCCAGATTCTTTGTCACTGCAAATATTCTCTTGACCCCTACATCTCATAGTTTCAATGGTAGAGCAACCAACTAGCCCAAGGACACTTCCATGGCCACCTTCTTCACAAGCTGGATGACAACTTTCTTGGGTACTGGGACAATTTTTAATGTCACATACTGGTTGCCCATTCATGATAATTTTCGCAAATGAATTCCGCAGGAATGGCATATCCCTTAAGCTGAAATTCATTTCCAAGTTGTTGACAAATGCACTGATAAAACCCAAGACAAAGACACCACAGTCAAAAACATTCTGTCCTTGAGAAGGCAACTTTTCTCTTTCCTCCTGACTTAACCTTCGAAATGAAGAAATATCAATATTTGCAGTTTTGAATTCCCTGCACAAGACCTGAAAAACATAATCACTCCTTCGATCTTTACAAAGGGAGTCAAATTCCCCATACAATTTCATTGGCCTGTCTATTAAGACACACCACCAGTGACCAGGGCAATGAACAGGAAATACAAACTTTTCATACTTGTGAAAATCACACCTAAGCATTTCCTTAAGACCCAGCTCTTGGCTGCAGTGATTTAGCCAAAAGGTGCTTGCCACATACACATCCTTTTTCTGACTCATTAAGAATGGACCAATGTAGTTGATCACGACATCATTTATTTGGTTACCTGGCTTGAGGGTACGAACATCTTTTGCTTTGACTTGTCCATGGAGTGTGGCAATGATGGTATCATCACTTATAGTACTGCTTAAATCCCACACCTCATCCAGTGTGCAATGAAAATTTGTGTGCAGCTTAACTTCTGGCAAGTCATTCACTCTCACAGGATTGCCATAAGTTCCAGGCCCTTGAAGGTTTACAGCAGCAAAATCTGGGTTCTGATATGCTTCTCTCTGAATGTAACCTAGGCCATCTTTAAGGGACAGTGGAAGCAGATGTCCTGCGACTATCAAGAAGTACAATTGCATCTGCTTTAAAGAGCAGAGTAACAAAGTGATATTCCTTTGTCCTCACAATGAGTGATGGTCTCTCATCTGCCTGGAACAATCCCAGAAGAAGGGAATAAAATTCCTGGAGACTGCTGGGGTCAAGGGAATTAATTGCAGCACCATCCACAAGTGCCCTCAAGGGTAAATCTAGTCTTTGAAATGTACAGTTCTTCCTAATTGCTGCCTCCTCCATTGCTAAAATACTGTAGTCACCATCAAGACCCCGCATAGGCTCTAAAGGTACAGAAAATCCACAGCCAACTTCACAAACCTGTTTTAACCAAATGATGTCTGCTGCCAAATCTAGGTCAAACAAATTGAACAAAGTAGGTCCTTTCCTGGAACAACCTATTGCATTGTTCATTGCACAAAGTCCACAGAATGAGCTGTACCCTTGAACTTGCATACACTCCTGACTGCCATTGTTGCTACTTAGGCGCACTTGGCTCTGTACATCTTTATTTGCATGCTTGTCAATAATCTTTAAAAAGTACCTCAAGTTACTTCTTTCTGTGGCATTATCTTGAGAAGGATTTATGGCTGCAAGAAAGCCCTTCAAGGGCATTACAAACTTGGCCAGTTCACTGCAGTAAGGATCAATGTTCTCTAGATGTTGCTGACACTTGTCCTTCAACTCAGCTGGCTTCCATAGCATTCCTTGATTGCTTCCTGGCATGAACAGCAATGATGTGGATGGCTCACCAAGGGTGACTTCATGGGTTTTCAGACTTCCTTGGGGTGTACTGCATCTGTTGGATCCAACATCAACATTTACATCATTTGTATGGTCAAGCAGATCATCCTTATTGAACACTGGCTCATCAACACCGACTTGGGTGCTAGGTCTTTTGATACTGTCTTTATCATGGCATGAAGTACTAGCCTCAGTTGTATGGCTACTTAACAGAGGGGTTTCCTTTGGAGCTGTCTGAGATGTTTTCATTATACTATCATCAGATGGTACAATGCAACCATCTATTGTTACACAGAAGAGCCCACAGTTAACAGCCATCTGAAGCACAAGATTCTGGCAGCAGGGATGAAAGCATGGAGTTTCTTTTTGCTCTCCAACGCATGACAAGCAGTCAGAGTGTTCCTCGTAACTGGTGAGATGACTTAGAATTGACTTTCCCAGGTTTTGCTTTCTGTCTCTCTCCCAAAAGATTGTACCATAGAGAAAGTACTGAAAACCCAAGCCTGTAAAGTTTGAAGGCCAGTTACAAACTTCTGGTGAAACACAGCTTCTTCTTCCTCTCTGTCAGAAAACGACGATACCATGGCAAGGAGTCCATAATCCAGAACCTGACAATAACTCTTCAATAAATCATCAATACTTCTATGGTGAGCCACTTTCCTCAACCTTAGACTTCGATTATACATCTCCTTACGCACAGTTAGGCCAAACTCTGAAATGAAATTGTGCATATTCAGCAAAGATAACTTGGGGGGTGTTTCACAAAGGGGAAGTTCACACTGCTTTTCCTTGAACAAAACCATCTGGCCACCAAAAATGGATTTAACTACCAATTGCTCTCCACATTCTATCTCCACCTTGAACATTCCTCCAGGACGCACCTCTTTGATGACCCCAGAACATTCAAGGGCTGAAAGGGATCTGGCTTTGAAAAATGCAATCCTTCTGAACGTGGATTTTGGAAGAGAACTTTGTCTCCCACCTTAAATTCCCGCTCTTTAGCCCTCTTAAGAGCCCGTTTGTGATTCTTTTGAATGGTGTGTTCTGTTGCTTCAAGGACATCCACCATCTTAGATTTGTATTCTTCACTCAAGTTGAAGAGGTATTTTGTGATGCTCTCTACCTGGAATTCTGCCTCTGAATCCACTGATTGAAGTGGGATGTTGTTGTGACTGTGAGAAGGTGGAGAATGTGAATTTCCTTGCACTATCTTCTTAACAGCTGCTGACAGCTGCTTAGCTGAAACACCCAATGAAGACAATAATATGGTCTCAGAAGAAATTTGCAGGATGGCCTCTGTTATCTCTTCTAATTTAGATTTATCCATGGAAGTGCTTTCCCCATGTCTCTCAAGTTCAATGAAATCTTCTGATGAAAATTCATAATCCTCAAGGCAACCATCTTCAATACTTTCTGTCCACATACTATCATCTGGGATGATGTAGTCCACCAAGCAGGAAGGCTCACGGTTCTTATATATTCGAAAAGGCACATCATTAATTGTGCTGTGCCACTTGCAATTCAAAAGGTCTGCAATAGCAGAGAGTAGTAAAGGCCAGACATTGGCCTGAAGATCTCTAGGCAACTGTTGTAAAAACCTTGCAAGTAACCTTTTGACTTGCTTGTTGAGATTTTCTATCTGGCCTTGAGACTGTGGGTGGTGTGGCCTACCATGAACCATGCAAACTTCAAATTCTTTGCAAAGTTTTTGCACTACCTCTCCAATGAATTCACCACCATTATCTGACTGAATTACAGTAGGTGACCCTTCCTTGATGAACAAGGCCTTCAGAATGGCATACACTTCTTCTGCAGACTTTGTTTTTAACGGAAACAGCCAACAAAACTTCGAGAAACAGCACTTGACTGTTAGAATGTAACGGTAGCTCCAACAATTATTCTGCATAAAACTACGGTGCTTCTTTGGGGCCATGTCAATAAGGTCACACTGTAGTCTGGAATGGGGGCGAAAAGATCTAATGGGGACAGGAGGGGGAAGCACTCGCATTGGCAAGGGGTTGTTGACCTGACATGTTGAGCATCGAGCCAAGAAGGCCCTAATAAGGTTGAAAATACCCTTAAATACATATTTTTGATTGAATAGCCTACTCAAGGCATTCACCCCTCCAGGGAGGCAAGTATCCTCTCCAAGGACACCTTTAATGTAGTGTAAACTGCTTAATACACCATCTACAGCCTCTCTGTAGAGAAGTTGCTTTGTAGTCTTAAGCTCTCCTTGAACATAACTGTTGACCAAAACAACAAGGATGCCATTTTTGTCACGGACAATCTTACCTTCTTGGTCAAGTTTTAGTGTGTAGACTGGTCTTTTCAGGCTACGTCGTTCAAAAAATCGTCTTTTATACTGATTAAAGAAAGCATTTAAGTTTTCATTCTTCTCTGAAGAAATACCATCTTTTGGGAAAGATGTATATCCTGGAGTACAATACAAAACTGTATCTGCCAGTTTTTCATAAAAATATTTCTGGCATCCATTGAAGCTACAATCTGCTAAATAAAATATAGTATTTGTGAATAAGTAATAGTTATAGAAGATTGCTACCTTTAACATACATTTATTGATTAATCCTTTACACCTCAGTATGCATATTCTCCATACTGTTCTCTATACATTTCCTGAAGCCCTGACAAAGAGAGTTTTTATAAAAATCAAGAGATTTATAAATTGTTGGTCATTTCCTTTATTCTCATGAACTCAATGTTTGATTCAGGGGAGATATTGTAAGGAGAAATTAGAAGCTGGTCACTTTTAGGGGTTAAAGGGTTAAGATTTTTTCTTCCATAACGGGTAAAACAGATCCTATTTAATGGTTCAGAGATGACCTTTCTACAAGTAACTGGAATTGAGGCAATGGAAGATATTACTGCATGCTCAGTATATTGTTGCACAAAAGTATTTAAAAGTTTCCTGTTTCTGAATTTCAGTTGTGGATAACTGTTGTATTCCAGCACTGTTATTTTCCAGCCCCTCTCAGCTGTTCTCAGTTTCTCAGCAGGAGTTAACTATTGTATTCCAGCACTGTTAATTTCCAGCCCCACACAGCTGTTTTATCTCAGTTTATCAGCAGGATTTACTGTTGTCATTTATCCAGGACTGTTGTATTCCAGCACTGTTAATTTCCCACCACAGCTGTTCTGAGATTACTAGCAAGGAATAAATATTCTTTTCCAGTCCTTACTTGTATTTTCAGTTGCATACTATTCTTCCCACATTTCTTAATAAATGAATCTATATTTAGTGGACACTTCTATATCACAGACACTGGAGAAGGTTCTCAGAGAAGTTACCTTTGATACTTTTATAACTATAAAAGTAATAGCTTTCACTGCAATTTAAAGTGATTTAATTTTTGAAATACAGTTAACTTCTCCACTAACCCCACAACACCTGTGCAAAAGCATGTCAATTACAAATAACAAATATGGAGAGTTGCAAATTACTTTCAATACTTTATAGTGCAAGCAATGTATTCCTTACCATTTTTTCAGTGTTTTCTTTCCATTTACAGACTCAAGTGGCTGTAATGAAAAAAAACAAATTCAAACAATTTTACCTCACTTCTTAAAGCAAGAAGTCACAAGACTAAACAACAAGTGTAGAAACTTAGACATACTTAGGCTAAAACTCTGATTCAAAAAAAAAAAAAAAATGACCCCCTGCAAAAAAAAAATTGTACCACTGTCTTTGATACCATCCTGTCACTCTCCTATTTTTTTTTCACTTTTCTTTACTTCTAATTTGTAAACACATATAATGCTTCTTCTCAATGGGAAGTGTCTTCAAGAAAACCCAAATAACGAAAACAGTATTGGCAAGAAAGATAGCCAAATGAACAGTAGTATCGAATTAGAGCTTAGAGCAATTAAACAACATGAATGGCTGCTACACCCCATTCTTTTTTTCCCAGGTCTACATGAACTAGATTTTGAGCACAGAATGCAATACCTCACCAAACATCTGCTATGATGACTCACTTAAAAGTGTGCATGATTATCACCTCTTGCTTAGATAGCACACTTCACTTCAATGTTTTTATTACTACACATATGGGGGCTTTGGTAAGATTGTGGAAAGGAGGGACAACGTTTGAGCAGCTGGGAGGGGCCAAAATGACAGTGTGACAGCCATTTATTCCCACTTGGATGGCAAAGTCTGGGGAACCTTCCCCTGGAAATTTAAAAGTTCAGATGTCCAAAAGGGTCCATTTTAGGCCACTATTTCCCAAGTTGGCTAAAAATTATAGCTGCTACGAGGGTGAGTATTGACACTGAATTAATGAATAGAGTACCTTTTATGTAACTAACTATATAAACATTATACATAGCAATGTTGTCTCTGTGATGATGTCTGTGTGGTCTTGTTTGATTTTTACTTTTGCCTTGCTCAAAAAATGAGATTGTGCTGAGGACAACATTAGATTTTGGGGTACAGTGCTGTGATTTCTAACACAGTATCTTTAATGCAATTACTGATGGCAAAGGAGTTAATCAGTACTTCAATGATAAATGTAGAGCATGGCAATTAATGAAACGATCAATGTCTAATCATGAACTAGCTCTTTGTCAGTGACAAGTTCACAAAATTAATATTGGTGAAGGTTACTTCATACAACAATTACTGTAAACCACCATACCAAAAAACATGGTGACTGGTACATTCAACCAGAACTCTTTGTGCAAGAAAATACTGGAACCACTCATAAAAACAAGCAGTAAAGGTCTGAAAAATTTAAACCTTGCATACATAATGTTGTTGTTTTGTGAAATATTGCTTTCTACGAGTGCCTTAGCCTAAGAGTAATAGTAAAATGCACAGGTGCCATATTTGTCTGTGAGTGGATTGAATCTATTGGGTGAACACCAGAAAAAAGTAAATATTGATACAAATAGGCTGAGGGTTTAGTATAGGTATGCTGTGGTTTAGTTTTATCCTTAGTTTAATTCTTTTTTTACTTTTAATAGAGGCCAAATTGATAGTGACACATCATCTCATCATAACTTAGGCTAGGAGCTAAATTTTATCTTTCTTTACACAAAATGCATTTTTCATTCATATCATTAACAAAACCAAAGGAAAATGATGTTTATACCAAGGACAAAAATTAAGCACAACATATACCTTTTTATAACTAGTGCATAATTCGCCAAGAAAATGTTTAGAATAGAGCTTACCACCTCATCAGCACTTTTTGTTTTCTTTTGCTTTGCTGCTGGTTCTCATCCATGCCTGTATGAATGATATTTAGTAAGGGTGAAAGGATTGGTATTTTCTTAGCAAAGATAGTTGCAGAGAGTTTCTCCACTAATATACAGATTGCCAAATGCTCACAATGAATGCCAACAAGACCAAGTTCTTGCTAACACATGTAGGAGCTAATAGTAGGCAATAGTCTGTATTGAATTAAGTATTCATTTCTGCATGAATTAGTGTTTATTTCATTTTAATGTTTGTGACACATAGCTGAAAAAGTATGGATAATGTGGTAACATATAACATACATATTATTATCATATTCCTTATAATTTGGTACAGGGGACTTTACTCTAAATTGATCAAAATAAAGAAAGTGGCATATGTCAGCCACTGATTTAAATAACAAAGCACTAATTATTAAGTGAAGAGTAATTTTGCTGCAATTCTGTCACTTCTGGGTGAGCAAAGAGAATGATTTAATATATTGTAACCCAACTGTTACTTGTTGGAGAGCATTGGGAGACAGCACCCTATCCTTTATGAAAGAGACCAGATCTTCATCATACGAGTTAGCGGTTGGTGAGTTAACCTCCCAGGATATGTGATATTTGACATCAACCATACCAGAGGTTGAATTTTTGCGTAGTCCCATACATTTACAATGAATACATGTCTTCCACTGTATCCATAATAGCCATCATTGTAGGCACAATGAGATGGAGAAAATCACACATTTTTGGGCATTGAAACACCGAGATCTGCCCTGTTTTTCAATTATGTAACATCTAGTTTTACATGTCGCACGCAAACTAAAAAAATCAGCCCTCGACACTGAAGGATTCAATGAATCAAAGTTAGTAGTCACTCGCACGCTTCGCCATGCTGTCACATGAAATCTACAGTATTAAGCCCAAAACTTGAACGTGATCTTTGAAGAATGGTTGTAATATTTGAATTTAACAAAATACTAGCATAAAATGCAACCGAAACCTTACCTTCCTTTAGTAGTTCCGACAAAAAAGCACAACTTCGATCACCAGCGCACTCCAAACCAATAAGGGAAGCTACGAGGCAATGTCAAATTCTCGTCTTCCTAACCTTTCCAACGTATCGAAGAAAATTTCACTGATACTTCGCGCTTAAAAACGCAACAAGAATATTAATCTTTCAACAATCCGAAGTGTCCCAAAAGGCATCAAGGATAAGCCCATGAAACAAGAATAGCCCATGAAATTCCCAAACTTCGAGCGCGGAAAACTTAACGATAGTCTCACAATTTTGCATTGCATCCCTCCCCTAGTTGGGAAGTGACACGCAGAAGACACGTTCACAACGCACTTTGATTGGAAGAAATAAAACCGCATTCTATTGGTTATTAGGTGTGAGGACATAACTACAACGGAAGACACAACTGCAACGCTACACTCACCTTGAGCATGATAGCAGACTGGTGTCGAGTCCTCTGCAAATGGATTTTCCGTTATGGAACAGACCAAAGGAACGTCCTCCAAACGAGATAGGGACACCAGTGATGATCGTTTAAGATAATAATGTAACCAGTGAATCGTCGCGTCTAATTCAGATGACGTAAATCGCAAGGAAAAAAAGCGACCAAGAAATAAGGTTTCAGAGAGAACCTGTGATGTGTTGTTGCGCTTTCTTGTAGAGTAGACCATTGTGCATAAATCATTGACCCTGTTTGATCTTGACAGCCGGAGCTTAATTTAGCATACGGTAATAACAAAAATCCCACAATATGTCGAAAAGGGCCGATTTGCACGAAACTTTGCCATTTTTAGACTTGATATCAAGATACTTTAGATATTAGCACCCGAGTGCTACACTGTAAATTCGAGGGTAAATAAAGTTTATTGATTGATTGATACTGATTGAGAAACTTAATTAGACCTTGAAGATCAGCAGTGTAATGAGAATGTAGCATGCCCCTGTGATGCGTTCATCAGTGTGTACGTCCATTAATGTGTGTAACTTTCGCGTCGTTGCGGTAGTCAGAGCCGGCTCCCTATTGCGTTAGAGGTGTTAAGTACTCTTCACCGATAACTGAAGTCCGTTTTCTGTGACGCACAAAATATAGAAAAATGGACAGAATTCACCGATAAAAAACAATGGCATTATTTTTGAGAAATATTTTGGAAAGGCATTAAAGGACCTGTTTCCGTGTTTACATGGCCTCATCGAAAAGGAGACTAAATTCTCAAAAGTTGTGCAAAGCCTTAACTACGTCTCAGGTTTGCTTGACTTTTCCTTCTTCCCTCAACACCCTCGGAATCAGAGGTCACGTAAGCATATGTCTCAACAAATATCCGTATTTCCATGATTATTTCAGGAAACAAAGATAAGAAAAGCATTGTAGTGCATTGAAAGACCAGTTTTCTTTAGAAAAACAAAACCCGACAAATTTTTTTAATTGAAACCTTTAAAGAGGTCATTTAAAATTGTTTTCCAGCTGTGCTGCTCATTTTATTGTGCATCATTTCAAAGGAGCACAAGAATAATATGAATGTTTCAACAGCTGATGATGTGAGAAAAAAGACTGATTCTTTAGAATGCCAAGATAAATAGAAAGTAATACAAAACAAAACTTCAATCATCCGAAATTATATTCAGCATTGTTGACAAGTCTTTGGAAAATTACCAAATAGTTCCATTTTCCACGCGTCCAGTGCCGAGCCAAGTCGACTGGCGCTAGCGCATGATTGGCCGTTCAAAAGGTCATATTAATTTTTACGGAAGGTATGTAACGCAATCATCAGTTTCTCTTCACTCTCTCAATGATGGGTTCTGTCTCTCTTCATACAGTAGCAGTTCTCTGCCTTATCTCCTCTATAAATGGATTTTGGGTTTGGAACAGACCAACGGAGCGTCCTCCAAATGAGATACAAACACCAGTCATAATTGGTAATTAAGAATTGTTAATTTTACAATCTATAGCCATTCTTAAGGCCAATTTAGATATCAGGGAACAAGCGATCAAGAATCCTTCTAGAGTTTGACAGAAAATCTCCAATCTCCCCTCTTGGCTTCAGAAAAGATATCGTTTCGTCGGATTTTGCTTCATAGTTAGGCTTTTGCTGGGCCCTTTCAAGCCTCCATAATTAACAAATAGCGCGCAATTTATTTTACATGCAAATTACGTAACTGTCCATAATTTTGCTCTGTTTCGGTTTTGCATATATTTGATTTTTTTTTTCTGAGAATCGAAATGAGCATGATTAAAAGCGAAAATCCTGATATTTATATTAACGAGATTCTAAAATAAGTATGAACGAATACAGTTTTCTGTGATGGTCGGTCAACGGAATAAACACGCAACTGCAAGTATAAGTTGAAACGTGATCTCATGTAGACGTCACGCATCATCGAGGAAGTTTTTGTGCAACAAGCAAATTTACCTTTGACAGCAAGGAAACAACAATGGCCTCACAAAAGGTAGTCAAAAAACGCAAATTACCGGTTTCTTTTGATAGAGAATCGCCCGATAAAAATTAAAGTAACTACTACCAATCTGGCCTTATCTATTGTAGAAGGAAGACTCCTCCGGGATCCCGCTTCGTTTTTACCGGGATCCCGCTTCGTTTTTACCGGGATTCCCGCCTTGTCCATGATATTTAAGTCGTTCATTTTGACCAAAAAGCTTTCAATCAAACCACACCCACCAGGGTAGAGACAGTGATACCTTGATGTATGATTTGATTTTGTTTCTCTCGTCAGTGCCTGGAACCGGTGGAAGCCAACTTCAAGCCAAACTTAATAAACCAAACACTCTTCATTGGTACTGCTCCAAAACAACCGATGACTACTTCACATTGTGGCTAAAGAAGTCCTCGCTCTTACCCTTTGCTATAGACTGCTGGGCGGATAATATGAGGTGGTAAAAACCTTTCACTGTGGCTCAAAATCGTTTTAAATAACCTTTCGTAGCTCACTGACGAAGAAAATTATTATGTTATTGGAGGGCAAGTCAATATTAAAAGGCAACTTGATTATCAGTGGTTTATTGATTCGGTTTGTTGTCATTTGGCACAATATTCTCTCTTTTCCTCAACCCTACTTCTGTTCGACAATGTCCTGTGGTCATGCATCATGTCTATCAAAGATTGCGTGACCCAATCTAGGGAAGTATCTCATTTGAGTGGACCAAATAAAAATGGCTTTGCTATCAAAATACGAAAATGTACAAATATCTTTAGGGTTTGCAGAGTAGAATGAATACAATCATAATTCTAATCTCGTTGTTTTCTTTGTTTTCTGACAATAATTAGACTTGTGTACGATGAAAGCACTAAGACCATGAAGAATGCGCCGGGCGTGGAAACAAGAGTTCCCGGATTTGGTGAGACCAGTACAATCGAATACTTGGACACGACCGGATTGATTAAGTATTTTGCGCCAATGGTAGAGACCTTGGTCTCTTGGGGATACCAGCGTGGGGAGACTGTCAGAGCGGCTCCATATGACTTCCGCTATGGGCCTGGTAAGTTGCACGTGAACAGTGCTTGTTGAACATATACACTCTAGTTGCTTGTTGAGAATTTACTCTCGTCCCCATAACTGCTCGGCTCTATCATCCGAAAAGGCCTTGGTACCACAAATCGAACGAATCCCTCTGCTAAATAGATATTTTCAATTTTTCCTCCAGAATCACAGTCAGAATATTTTTCAAAACTGAAGACATTGATCGAGGATACATATTCAGCTAATGGTAACAAGAAGATAACTTTGATGAGTCATAGTTTAGGATGTCCGTATACTTTGGTTTTCCTGAACAAACAAACGCAAGACTGGAAGGATAGATATATTTTACAATGGATAACTCTTTCAGGTAAGAAAAAGAATAAAAGCGATTTGAGCTTTGAAGCCCATAGCTCGTGTTAAGAGACATTTTTAGCTATGTGTCTGCATCGGATGTTTGTATTGGTTTTGCTCTACTAAGTTTCGAAAATTTCTTGTCACGTTTTTACCTATCAGATGGAAAACTGAGACCCGTGCTCAGGAATTGAGTTTGTTTATTCTGTGCCACAGTTTTATCAGACATGCTCACGCAAAAGTGCGCAAAACATCGTATTATTTGCAAACTACGTTTTCTTCTTTTTTTCTTCTAAGGAGTGTGGGGCGGGACTGCAGAGCAAATTAGCTTGTTTTCTTCCGGAAACACGTTCGGGATCCCGAAGATCCTCGTGAATCCGTTGAAAGTCAGAGGCGAACAGCGCACGGATACAAGTAACGTTTATCTGCTCCCAAGTCGAGAATTATGGTCTGCGGATGAAGTCTTGGCGATAACTCCAGAGCGTAACTACACTGTCAAAGACTACGACGGTTTCTTCCAAGATATTGACTTCCCACTCGGGATAAAACTACGAAAATTAGTCGAAAACATCACATATCCGTTAACAGAGCATTCTCCGAAAGTAATTGTTCACTGTTTGTATGGAACTGGGGTAAAAACAGGAGAGAGGTACCAGTTCAAAGAAGGAGAATTTCCGGATACTCAGCCAGATGTTATCTATGGTGACGGGGATGGAACAGTGAATAGACGCAGTCTAGAGGCCTGCAATAAGTGGAACCAGCGGCAGCCGAATAATGTCACCGTGAAAACATATCCAGGAGTGAATCATAATGGATTGTTGAGCGACGAGAACGTGCAGAATTATATAAAGGCTCTCTTGTTTTAATTGTAAACTGTGGCTTTCAAAGATCCAAATCACAACTTGAAATTAAACAGGTAATTTAGTGTTAACAACTGGGTTGAAAACGTAAATTAGCCACCGTAAAGGGTAAAAAAGCTGACGTTTCGAGCGTTAGCCCTTCGTCAGAGCGATAATCGCTCTGACGAAGGGCTAACGCTAACGCTCGAAACGTCAGCTTTTTTACCCTTTACGGTGGCTAATTTACGTTTTCAACCCAGTTGTTAACACTAAATTACCTGCTATACTCTCCCACCGACGCAGCACCACAGTTTCTTTAGAAACTTACCCCTTTATTCATTTGAAATTAAACGGTTTGGCTCTTTTTTCTATTTTGATCTTCCAAGTTGTCGTTTTTTCCTTCTCTTTTTCTTTTTTTTTTTCTATTACTTATTTTTCCTAATGACCATAAACAAAAGATTTTCTTTAATCATTTAACCCCTAAGGGTGACGAGCATCGAATTTCTCATAAGGATACCCCTGCTGGATTAAATAACAGGCTTAAGAGAATAAAGGAATTGATCGCAACTTTAAAAATCTCTTGATTTCTCGCCTTGTCAGTGCCATGGGAAATGCAGAAAGAACAGTATGGGGAATACACATGCTGATCTCAGGGTGATTTCCCTAACTAAACTTTCGCCCCATAAACGGCTACAAGGAACTGGCCGACGGGCCGCAGACCCATAGATATTGACAGAGCCTCTGAAGGACTACTCGCTGGTGCCGACGGTTTTCCATTCCGAGCCGGTTTGAAGGCTCCCCTCTCCAGAGAAAAAGCGGTTTTTGGACCCTGGCCGCGCGGGGGTTAAAGATTACAACTGTTTACTTTATTTCTTTCCGAGCCATGGGCTAACATCTACTCGCTGCAGTGCTGAGAAGACTTTAGATTGGCAGAGGCTGTCATGAGAGTTGTAACAATTTTACGTCTCAAAACAATTGTCACACAATGATTGTTATGAAAGGAAATAAAGCTGCCTGTAAAGGTGTGCTGCTCTCAACACGCAGTTTACTTTTGGAAAGAAAATATTGGCACACTTTGTTATTGAAACCAAGCGAAAGCTATTCAAAATTCTCTTTCATCTGTCTCGTTCATTGTGCGTCATTTTAAACGAAAGCGAGAAATGTTCCAAATGTTTTAACAGCTGGTCATGAGAAATTACAAATAAATTTATCTGAATCCAAACAAATTTTTTGGCTCCTATCGCATTTTTTGGCCTAACTTTAAGTTTAATGTTAAATTTCAACTGAGATGTTAAGTGAACGTGGAAAAGATGCGAGGGAAGCCGTAGTATGGAACAGCTGCAGGACTACTGAGTGATATCACAGTATACAGTTACCAAGTAGAATGATTGCACGAGGATAGATTAAAAAGACCACATGAGATGGAAAGCAACGGAGGAACGCGTGTCTCTTTTACTGAAGTAATAAATAGATAGACAACATACATGATTCGCAGTTGACACCTAACTCTCATGATGGTCAGCACAATTTTTCTCGAAACAATAGCACTGATTTGCCTTTTCTCCCCTTCAAATGGACTTTCGCTGTGGGACAGACTAGGGTGAATATCCTTCAAACAAGATAAAGACACCTGTGATCATCGCTAACTATAAATTACCATTTAATTTAAGCGATAATTTTATCGTTTTCTCACGGCGGATTTAGCAAAAAAAAAAAATATCTTGAACGAGCAAGCTATTAAGACTACTATGAAACCAAGACTTGATAAAGAACCTTTGATGCTCGTTGTAAGCTCGACAAAATATGTTGTTTCGCCGAATTTCGTGTGATAGCTCATAGCCAGTCCTTTAAAAACCTTTTTTCAAGCATAAAATTTAAAATCGCGCAAAATTTATCGAACTTTTTGGTACTTACTTTCGAGGGTACGTAATTCGCGATTAATAAGCTTTTATAGTCCGAGGGGGTAGGGTGTAAGGTCAAGCTTCTTGAAATAGAAAAACACCAAATAAAAATCAAAGCGCGCAATACTAAAGTAGCCTCATCCAGAAGTCGGCAGATACCCACGTTACTTTGATGAAACTCCTCTGGATCCTGCTGAGATGTTGGCGGGATTCCCCTCAGTATCGATCATGTTGCTCTTAAGGGAAGGGGGAGGATCACATGGTTTTCAGGGAGAACGGGGGGGATCAGTCATCGCTAACTGAGTATAAAGAGGGGTGAAAGAAAATTGACTACCATCAAAGAGGGAAGGGGATCTTAAGAATATCATGGAGCCATACGGTGACACCCCCCTTTACTACTTATTCCTTCTGCTCTAATACAACCGCTGAGATCTCTTCAATATGGCTCAAGTCTATCTCGTTCTTACCTTGTGCCATAAACTGCTGAGTTTAATCGCTCAGAGGTCCCTCTGTGGCTCAATTCTGTGTTTAAGAAATTGAGTTTGCTCATTCTAAGCCACAGCAGCCCACAATAATAATTCATCAGACACGCGTATACAAATGTGCGCAAAACACCACTTTATTTGCGAATGATTTTTTGTCTTTGTTTTCATCATGAGTTTGGGGTGGAACTGCGGCCGAACTAAGCCTGCTTATCTCCGACATCCCGACAGCCTCCAGGGACTCGCTGAAGCTCAGGAAGGTGGTGTGCACGCAAACGAGTGTGGTATATGTGTTACCGAGCCCCAATGATGAAGTCTTGTTGGAATCACATAACCGTTCGTACACTGTTAACGACTTCGACGATTTTTTTCGGAGCTATTGGCTTCCCGCTCGGAAAAAAAAACTATGGAAAAAGATCAAAATTATTACATATCCGCTAGCTGAGCATTCTCCACAGGTGACCGCACACTGTTTGTATGGAACCAGAGTTCCTACAGTAGAGAAATATCATTTCAAGAATGGAGAATTCCCGGATAAACAGCCAACGGTAACTTATGGTGACGGGGATGGAATAGTTAACAAACGCAGTCTAGAAGCCTGCAATAATTGGAACCAGCGGTAAGAAAATATTAAGTCACCCAGAAGTCATATCCTGGAGTGGATCATTTTGCAATATTTTGAGATACGGACGTGCAGAATTCTATTAGGACTCTTTTGTTTTAACTAAGAAGTGTGAATTTATTAAAGGAAGAGAGTATTGGCTGACCAATAAGAAAACGGGGGAAGGGAAACAGGAAAAAAAAGGAATTATCCCAGACAGCGTCCAATGATTCTATTTAGTGAGCAAAAGTTTTCAGGAAAATACATTTTCAATTATATTTTGCAAAAAGTGATTTGTTTCGTCTCGTTTTGTTTTGTTTTTTTTTTTGTCTTTTTTTTAGAGAAGCGCGATCACAGAAGCAATAAAAGTGCCAATTATTTATGTCTTTGTTTTCAGAGGGTACAATGGCGGAGAGCGTTCGCACCATGATTCAAACAGACCTAAAACTAAAGTTTATCTTTTAAGGCGAGAAATACTTTTATCATTTTGCCTGCTGTAAGCTCACTTACACACAAAAAGGTTTCTGAGCTTTTCTATCATTCCAGCCGGTTCCCTTCCCCCCCTACATTCGTAGGGCAAGTTCAAAATGGCTTCTGGTTTCTTTTCAATAGTAAGTTTGGGTAAATTTATGTTGTTCATTTAGTTAGGCAAATCACAGTAAAATGGCTCTTAATTGGTTCACAACGTCAGTTTTCAAGCCATTGTTGATTCCAAGCCAAGCACGGTATTTCCATCAAAACTTGAAACAGAAAGAAATCGTTAATTTCATGCACTTTTCGGTTACTGCCCGAAATTTCATTCCCGTCCCTGCAAGATGTTATGTTTTCTTGAATGTCCGGCCAGCTCATAAAAGAAGTAAAGTTAATTTTACAAAATCAGATAAAAAAGCTTTTTCTAAATTAGTTTATCACCTCCAATACTTTTTCAGCTGAACTTTTGTAACCTGCATTGATTTCCTGCATTGATAACCTACATTGATTTCCAAAGAGAAAAGTGTGATGTTTAATTATAAACGTTTCCTTAGCTGTCTTCTCACGTTGATTGAAAATTATATACCGTGTAAACATTCCACGTTTAGAAAGTAACACAAAGCCTTTGCTGCTGAGGCGGAGGGTTGGAACTAGCATGTGATTGGCTCGAAACCATTTATACCATTCTTTCTTGACAAAGAACCTTCACTAGTCGAGTTACAGTTTTGCACAAGTTCGACAGCTCGAGGATCCCTCAAAATGCTAAGCAGGAGATCGATTTTTTGCGTGCTAGTTTTGAATGTAACACTAACCTTTGGCAAAGGATGGTGGAAAGAACCAACAAGCAAACCATCTAGACAACCGCTGAAGACTACTCAAGGCATAAAAACGCCGGTGATCATTGGTAACAGCTGCTGAAAATATTAATTCTTTAATTCTGATTTTTAATATTTCCTGTGCTGTTAGTTATGATATATATGTGATCTTGTTAAACAGTAACCAATTCCTTTACCGTTGACGTAAAACTGCTAAATATGGGGAATAATATATGGGAACGAAGACAACGATTTGTTTTCTTTAGAATCCCAAACTTATGCTTTTCCACTCTCGCTAGCCCTGAAATTTTGGTGTTTCTTCGGACTTACGAAATTTTGATTATTATTAATCATTTTCCTTTGCTTTCTCACCGAATTGTTGGCGGTTGTATTAATCATTTTGTGAAAAAAGAAATTGATCATTCAGCATTTATTGTAGGTGTTTGCTCTATTGCGCTCTCTCAAGTCCAACACTGCGTTTACAATCGATTGCTGAATGAACCTACGCTCCGCACATCGAAGGTTCAGTTAGAGACCTTATATCGAAGGGCGGATCTCGGGGGAGGGTCAGGGGGTTCGGACCCCTCCCCTCCCCCTCCCCCTCCCATCAGACTTATGGGTTTCGTTACTACCTGTCCGAAATCGCACATCACCACTCAACTTGAAGTATTCGGAGCGTGCTGATCCTAAGATATTGCGTGGTTATCTGGTTTCTAGGAAAAGAGAAATTCTGCGTTTTAGGAATAAAGTTTGAACCCCCATCCCTTCGTAAAATTCCTGAATCTGGCCTTAATATCAAGGGCTTCGAATTCATTATTATCCACAGTACCAGGATCTGGAGGCAGTCAAATTGAAGCCAAGCTGGACAAACCCATTGCTCCAAGTTGGTTTTGCTCAAAGAAAACTTCAGATTACTTCACTCTGTGGTTTCAAAAGTCATCTCTCCTCCCTTACGCTATACACTGTTGGGCTGACAATATGAGGTTAGTAGAAGCTCTCTAGCCATGGAACAAATATTAATTCGTTGAGATGGCCTGGTCAGACGCACGAATAAAGTCCAGTAGGCCTAACGGATAACGTGTGTTTACAATGTAGCGGAGAACACAGCCACCCCCTGACTTCCTTCTAAATATTATCTTGTTTTGATCATTTTTTAACGGATTCAATTTCCAGGCTAATTTATGATGAAAAGACAAACACCGTTAGAAACGCGCCGGGTGTAGAAACGAGAGTTCCCGGATTTGGTGACACCTCAACCATAGAGCACTTGGATACCACAAACTTGATCTCGTACTTTAAACCAATGGTAGATGCGCTGGTCTCCTGGGGATACAAACGAGGATTCAGCGTCAGAGCTGCACCGTATGACTTCCGCTATGGACCTGGTGAGTAGCACTTTGATTTCAAATGTCTTAAACGTGATTCTAATAAAAAAAAAAAACAGGTATAAACATGCTCAGAGAGCTACAGATAGGAAAGGGGAAACCGAAAGCAGCTTAGCTCAGGTTATAATATCAAATTTCTTTCAGAATCAGCGTCGGAATATTTTGGAAAACTGAAGAAATTGATTGAGGACACGTATTTAGCAAACGGCAACAAAAAGATAACTTTGATGAGTCACAGTCTGGGATGTCCCTACACATTAGTTTTCCTCAACAAGCAAACACAAGACTGGAAGGATAAATATATTCTGCAATGGATTGCTCTTGCAGGTTCGTAAAGAATAGTAAACATTCATGGTAAACAGGGGTGTGGCAGGGTTTCTTTAAAGGAGGCTACACTGTGATACACCTAAGGTACCTACTGGACTGTCATACGGGTATCCAAGGTTTGTTTTCTTTGAAAAGTGACGTTTTGTGGGAAAAGCATCGAGTGATGCATGCCGCAAGGGCGGGGTGAGGTTAAGAGAACCTGATGACCCCGCTGGCTACTCCCTTGAATAACATTCTATGGCTAATAAGCTCATCTATTCTCATCACTTATTTACAGGTTAATTCATTGAAATTGCAAGGAACAGTTACGAAATATACATTATCAATTAAATAAAATAATTATTTTATCTTAAACAGGCGTTTTTGGCGGCGTAGCAGAAATGATTAATCTCTTCTCTGCCGGAGTTACCCTTGGTATCCCACACTTCCTTGTGGACCCAATTGACGTCAGAGGTCAGCAGCGAACATCAACTAGTAACGCCCTAATGATGCCTAGCCCTGAACTGTGGGGCGCGGGTGAAGTCTTGGCCAAAACACCTGATCGCGTCTACACGGTGAACGACTACGAAGAGTTTTTCAGAGATGTTGGGTTCCCACTCGGTATAAAGCTCAGAAAAATGGTGAAAGATCTGATCTACCCTTTAGCCGCGCACGCGCCTCATGTGAGGTTACACTGCTTGTATGGCACTGGAGTCCATACCCCTGCAAGCTATTTGTTTGGGAAAGGAGAGTTCCCGGATAAGCAACCGGAAATAATTTACGGCGATGGGGACGGCACAGTCAATCGACGCAGTCTGGAGGCCTGCGGTAAATTTAGCCAGCAGCAGAATTACGACGTCACGCTTAAAGGGTACGATTCAGTGAACCACGAAGGAGTACTGGGCGACACAAACGCGCTGAATTATATCAAGGGTGTTTTGTTCTAACGACCCTATTATCTTTAACAGTGAGATTATCAATAAACAAAACGGTTTAAAACTTTTCTTTAGTTTTTTTCGGTTTTGTCTGTTAAATGCGCGTTCCTTCTTTTTACGCCTCTGAGCACACCTCTTCCGCAAAGTCCTCACCCTTCCCCGGCCCTCCCAAATCCCTCCACGACTGAGAGAACTAAGCTTGGACCCCAAGCATTTCTCTTGTAAGAATATCAAAAACTGTCGCGCCTCAGAAAACATCATCCATGAACCAGTTTTCCTCATTCAGAGACGTCGATCTCAGGAGATTACAATTTCCTGTTATATTACAAAGTCTACAGAGGGGTTTCTGAATACTCAATCGTCATTGCGTGACCATTGCGTTATTTTGTGTCGTAACCATGATTAGGCGTACGTGACGGAGACCAGTCGATGTTCATGAAAATTCGAAAGAACATTTGATCGAAGAGTTCTCGTAACGTAGAAACGCGCCGTAAGATTACTCCGAGAGAGCACAGAAAATCGTAGCAACCGAACTAGCCATAGATCTTTTATTCTTACAATACAAAGAGGTTAATCAATAGACAGTTGATGGCATCAACAGGAAAAAATTTTGCCTCCGCGCAGAGTGTACCGAAGAGAATGGATTTCGATAGCGCTTTACAGCACGTCGGAGAATTTGGCCGCCATCAGAAACGAATTTACTTTTTGGTGAGCTTCATCTCGCTTCCTCTTAGTGCTCAGATGCTAATTGTAGTTTTTGTTGGTGCGATTCCGGAATGGAAATGTCCATCTCCTGACGGCGACATTCTTCACTGCAATTCAACCAGTGCGCGTTGTTGTGGAGAAGATGGCGCAATTTGCCGAGGCGCAAAGTTTCCTTCAGATTTTACGTCCATTGCAACAGAATGGAACTTAGCCTGCTCTCAACGCTATAAATGTGAGCTAAGTCAGTCGATCTTTGTGGCAGGATACATGTTTGGGGTTCTTATTTTTGGTATTTTGTCCGACAAGTATGGTCGACGGAAGCCATGGTTGTTTGCGTATATAGTTGGAGGTGTTTTAGCCCTCATATCTGCCACTGTCGACTCTTACGAGGAGTACATCGTGTTACGATTCGCGATGGGGCTATTGAACGGCGGGGGAGGCCTCATAACTTATGTGTTGTCCACAGAATCAATCGGCCCCTCGTATCGCGGTAAGAGATGTAATATTTATTATTGTTAATACTATTATTATAATTATTATTATTTCTGTTATTTTAAAAATTGTCACCATCATTTTACAAATAGAAGTGGGGAAATTACTGAATTTTATTTTTGCGGTATGTTTTTTCCCAGTGTTGTCTGATCGATTCTTCCGCTCTGGATTTGACATCTTATTGGCCAGTGTGGTGTGACTTTTCTAAATCAATCATGTGACAAGAGTTGGTTAAAACTTATCACCTTTTTTTTTTTTTTTTTCCCAGGAACTGCAGGTACATGGCAGCAGGCCTTCTCTGCTGTTGGTTATGTCTTTCTGGCAATAGAAGCTTACTTCATCCGCAATTGGCGCACTTTGACAGTTATTTCAATTTTTCCCTCATTTGTGGTGTTACTGGTTTTCAAATCAATTCCTGAATCTCCAAGATGGCTTGCCTCACAAGGAAAAATAAAAGAAGCAGAACAAATTCTAAGGAAAATTGAGAAAGAAAATGGCTTCCTGAAGAACGAAGTGGTATTTCTGAAAACAGATGCCAAGGGAAACACGGAATCTTCTCAGTATGGAATGATAGACTTATTTACTCACAAGTCTGTATGTGTTGTGATAGTTATCATGATGCTGATATGGTGTGTGAACAGTATGGTGTATTATGGACTGGCATTGAATGTGAAAAACCTTGGGGGAAATCTGTACATCAACTTCTCTCTGGCTAGCTTGATTGAGCTGCCTTCCTATTTTGTCACTCAATTTTTACTGGCTAAACTTGGTCGCAGAAAAGGCTTATTTTGTCTTCTACTAGGTGCAAGTGTTGCATGCTTCTTGTGTATGTTCCTACAACTACAAGGTGGGCAGAATGTGGCGGTAATTTCTATTGCAGCATTAATTGGCCGGTTCTTTATCTCTGCATCATTTGCCGTTCTGTACGTTTACTCTGCTGAACTTTTCCCTACAGTTGTGCGTAATGTAGGTATGGGGATTTCAAGTCTTTCAGCGCGATTGGGTGGAATGGTAGCACCCTTTATAGTCCTAATAGGGGATGAAAGTGCACCTTTCCCAATGTTTGTTTTTGCTTGTACAGCATTGTTTGCTGCAGTGACCGGCTTGAGACTGCATGAGACACAGGGAAGGCCAATGCCAGAGACATTTGAGGAGCTTGATGAAAACTATTTAAGGAAACAAAAGACAAATGGTGACCATAAGGGAGCTGATAGCTTGCTTTAATAGGACCTGCATGGAACACATTTTAATCAATCAAATCAATTATTGTATTTCTCCAGATGTGAAGCTCAACTTGCATCAGCAAAATCTAACATTGTCACCTTTGTTCAGTGTTAGAGAAAAGATAGACTAAGCCAACAGAGAGAAATTTAGTAAATTTGAAAGGGAACCTCAGTGAGTTCCGTTCCCATTCACAATGCCCCTTAACAATTTAAAGAAATATACAAACATGACAAAATGTGAAATCAGATTGCTGTCTCAAAGTATTAAAAGTGTTGGTTTTGGGTTCTTTGGGTAGCTGTCTTAATTAAGCATGTCACAATAGTGCAGCCATTCTATGGGTGCCATGCAATGGGCACTGCTCGACATCCGTTACAATGACTGCACAGAAGTCTCCTCTTAAAATAATAGTTTCACAGAGGTGATAGTGAAACACAAAGGAACAAGGATGACAAAGACAGAGTAGATTACCATGGATTACAAAGGCAATGTAGAAAACTGTGTGCTGAAACGAGAGGTTGAAAATAGGACCTGAAAAAAATTCAGGCCCATAATTAATTTCATTTCTTCACTGCAGTGCAAATATATGAATTTCATACATCAAAAACCATCATGTATGCAAATTATTGTGATAGTGACAAAGCCCCATTCAATTCATTGCATATTTTATGAACAAAATTTTGTATTTCTCCTGTTATCCTTTGGTACTGACAAGGAGAATTCATTTAACAATAAAGAGTGTTGTTAGGTTGGTGAGTGTTGTTAGGTTGGGTAGGTCCTTTCTCTCTCTCTTTTTTTTAATTTTTCCTTTCCTTTGAGGAAGGGAGTGATTCAACTATGAAAAAATAGATTTTCCCCAAGCTATGTTTCTAAAATAAAGGCTTGTTAAAAAAAATTTGCAGTTTCTAGATTCAAAGCCACTTTGGCTAGACACCCATCTAGAATAACCAGCCACATAGTCAAGTTTTGAACCAATGACAACAACCACCCTTCACTTTTGTCATCTTTGGTTTTCTGGGTTACATGTTCACCTACTTTCAATATAGCTACACCCTACCATTAGCGCTAAAATGATACTCTTCCATTTCCTGAACACATCAGAATAGTTTAAGCTTAAAAAGTTAATAATAAAGTGGCAATAAAAACAGATTTCATTTGTGTCCTTGATATTAAAGAGAGGGCTGGGGGGGGGGTTATTCAAAGGGGCCCCTTGTTTGATAATACAGCTGGGAGGGAGAGGGGTTGAGGGCTTATTCAGAGCACTTCTGAGAGTGTAGGTACCTATGCAAGGAATACAATTTTTTTTTATTTTACATGAAAGTAAGTTACATGAAACTGGCCAGCTAAATCCTACCACATCTGTACTGTGTCTAAACTTGCATCCCTAGAATTGTGTAAGTATAAATAAATATAACATTTTTTAAAATAATTATGTGCCTGATAAACCCTTTAAGGCTGGTAAACTTAGTGATCACACCAAACACATCCCCTCTACTGAAAAACAATTGCATTGTGAGCAATATTAAATGTAAAATCTGTCATTAACCCTTTAACTCCCTGAAGTGATTAACAAGTAACTTCTCCCTATAATATCTAAACACTATCCAGCAAACGTGTCATGAGAATATTCATGCTTATCAGGTTGAAGTTGTTACCTCGATCTGACACCAAATTCTCGTATCTTATTTACAAGGAAATGTGTAGCAGCTAGAGGGGAGAATTAACAAACAGATCTTGGGAGTTAAAGAAATAATATGACTAATATTTTTTCTCAACCCTTTCAAACCCAAGTTCTCACTTCAAATTATTCTTACTGCTACTCCATTTTGCAATTTTAGTTCTAAGAATTTGATGTATCCCTGACCTAACCCTTTCACTTCCAGATCAAATTTGTTATTCTCCTTACTGTCAACCATACAATTCTTATAATGTTAGTTCAGAGAATTTAGTATTGGATCAACTAATTATCCCCAAATTGATATTTTTCTTTATTCTCATCACTTATCTGGTTGATATTGTATTGATATTGTAAGGAGAAATTCTGTCTTGGTCACTCATGGGAGTTAAAGGGTTAACTAATATTTCCTCTTTATTCTTGTCCCCTTTATACTTGTTCTTGTAATGCCAACCTAAGAAGAAATTACTCATTGATCACCTGTGTTGGTCAAACAGTGGAAGTAATAAATTACAGTCATAACAATAGTGATAATGAAAGTAATGTTAATGATAGTAAAAATACCATCTGATAATTTCATTGTTACAGTCGTGTGTGGACTGAGAACAAAGGATATTTCACATTTTAGCCCTAAATTCTCCATACTCCTCACTATACATGTCCTTTTATACAGACATGGAGAATTTGTTTAACAATCAAATCTTCTTAGTTTGGCCATCATTTCCTTTATTCTCATGATCTTGAAAAAAATTTATATGCTGGTCACTCTTGGGGTTTAAAAGGTTAACCCTTAGCCTCTCAGAGTTACTAGCATCTAATTTTCCCTTACTTTATCACCCCTGAATCAAAGATGAAAGTCATGAGAATAGAAGAGATGATCACCAACTAAAGCAGCTCTTGATTGTTACACAAATTCTCCTTGTCAGCCTCTTTGGAAATGTATAGAGAATAGTATGGAGAATATGCATACTGATGTTAGGGTGTAATGGATTAATACTGCAGATGAAATGTTTTGCTGTGAATTATGTTTTAATGACTTTAACATCCTCCTGCTTTGATCTCTCCAAATCTTCCATCGTTTCGGGCATTGGACGCCCTTTTGTTTCTGGAAGCCTTAGACCAACTAACCCTGCCACTAATGACATACAAGCAAATATGAACATTGGTAAAGATCTGCTTTGTTCTCCCATTAGAACAACAAATGGACATAAGATTCCACCAATACGCGATGCCACAGTTGCCATGCCCATGCCAACATTGCGGATGACAGTTGGAAAGAGTTCTGCGGCATAAACATACAACACAGCAAATGATGCCGAGATGCAAAACTTCCCAAACATGGCTGCTACTGACTGTGCACCAGCATTTAAATTTTCTTGTTGCTGCAGTTTCATACATGCCCAGCATGAGCCTGCAGCACCCATCATGAAATAGAAAAGAGATTTGCGGCGGCCTGACCAGTTGAGTAGTAAGACTGTCAGCACGTAAGAAGGGATTTCTACCAAGCCAGCTAAGACAAAATTAAAGTACATATTACCACCTAGGTTTTTTACATTCAATGACAGGCCGTAATAGACATGGCTATTTACAAACCAGCTTATGATCATTATAAGGGTTATAACACAAGTGCTTCTGTTCAAAAATAAGTCAATGATTCCATAACTTCTTCCCGTTGAGCCACCTTTTGCAGTTCCCTTCTCACGTCGGAGTGTCACGTGTTTATTTCCAGAACCATTTTCAACAGAGATCTTTGATAAGATAGCTTCTGCTTCATCATATCGGCCTTGGGTAGCCAGCCACCTAGGAGATTCTGGAATTGTTTTAACAATGAAAAAGCCAAATGTTGTAGGAAGAGCTGATGCGATGGTAAGATATCGCCAATTTGGAATTAGATAAGCCATAAGTCCTAGTAATGCAACAGCTATAGCAAAAAAGACTTGAAGCATGGTTCCAGCAAAACCTGTGGAGATTAAAAACATAAAAAATTGGCTTCTTCAAGGTTTTTTTTCTCAAAGATTACTTGAAATTTCTTTGATTAAATGCAGAGTTTCAATCATGAATGTGGTAGTAGGAGGATAGTGTTAAATAAGAAGATAATATTCTCCACATCCAAAAAAAAATAGCTCCTGAAGGCAATTAAAAGTTAGCCAAAGAATTCAGCTTAGTGATGGTAGCCATAAAAAATATTTGATCTCCATGCCTGAGAAAACCCCTCAGGTTATTATTAGTTTAGGCACACATGTGTATACAACTTAAATTTTAGGCAGCACAATTTCAAAAATTGAAAAATCTCTGAAAAGAAAGCACCCCTGAAAAGGCTATGTCTCACAAAAATAAGCACTGAGGCAACAATGGCAGTGCTCTCTTGCCTTTTCTACCTACTTTGCCCACCTCCCTCTCCAACACCCGAGCCAAAATGGTGAAAAGAGTGAGAAACCATTGATATAAGTTTTGCCTCATCTTTATCTCAAGATTAATATGATCACTGTGTGATCTACATCACACAACATAATGAGATAATGGTAAATAAAATTTCATAGTCCCTAACAGTTTTCAGTTTTGAGCAACTTAAATCTAGACCAGAATTTAACTTCCCCCCCCCTCCCTCCCTCAAAAACCTTTTGATATTAGGTATTACCTCTGTAAGAAGGACCGATTGATTCTGTTGCCAGCACGAAAATAATTAATCCTCCTCCACCGGCAAAAATCCCGACGAAAAACCTCAAAGTCACAAAGACATAATAAGATGGTGAGAGTCCTGACAGAAAGGCTAACGCTCCAGATAAAAAATAAGTTGAAACCCATAGAGGTTTTCGACCATGTTTATCAGCAAGGCCACCGATCAGTGGCGCCCCTACCAAGGTACCAGCCATGAAAATAGATTGAGTGAGTTCATTCTTGTACGTTTGACCACAAAGGAGGTTCCACTCTGTAGCGATCGATGTAAAGTTCGTGATAAATTCCGCTCCATTACAAATAGAACCATCTACCGAACAGCAACTTTCTAGCGACTTGCAATGCTTCAAGTTCGCTCGATCGCCTTTTGGACAGACCCATTTCGGTGTTGCAGCAGTGAATACAAGAACAAGCATTTGAAAGAACATAGGCAACGCCGAAAGCGATATAAGAAAGAAGCGCTTTCGCTGGTAACGACCAAATTCACCCACCACTGTCAAAGCACTGTCGAAGTCCATGTCGCAAATTCTATGCCGGTCTCTCTGATGAGCTGGCGCTTAAAAGGAGGAGAGAACCTGGGGTGAGATTTCAAACATCACTGTGGGGGAGAGGGAGAGAAAATTAAAAGAGATCTACGACGATTTTAGATGTATGAAATTCATATATTTGCACTGCGGTAAAGAAACGAATTTAAGAGATTCTCGCAGCTAAGAACACTACTGAACTAGTAGTTGAAAATAGGACCTAGAAAAAAATTAAGGCCCGGTATCGCAGAGGTCATGGGTTCAAATCCCGTGCGGGCCTGAATTTTTTTCAGGTCCTATTTTCAACTATTAGTTTAGTAGTGTTCTTAGCTGCGAGGATCTCTTAAATTCGTAAAAGAGATCTACAAGAAAAATAGGTTTTGAACGCGTACAAGATACGATGGTGTGCAATATCTGAGCTCGCATGCCATCCAAACCTTTATCAGCGGAATGTCCCCATGGAGCTCATTTAGGAAAAAACAATTCTATCACAAAGCATTCACCTTCGCCGAAAAAAGAGAGAAAAAGGCTAAGTTTAGGGGGAAAATTTCCTTTTTTTTCCTTACGCACCTTCGACAGACTGAACTTCCTTTTGTATGAACACAGCGTGCGACAAACAAAAAGATGACTTTGTTTTCACTTCTTTATGTGGTGGAATAAAAATTGGGTAAAAATTCAAGTTAAGCTAGAAAAATAGAGAAGGTAGTAAAATGGAACAAAATATGGTGTTGCAATCGGTAAGAAACATTTTTAGAAAGCATTTTATGTCCTAAGGGCGGCGACAAAGCGTAATTAGAAGCCCCACCATTCCGCAGGCAGCAAAAGACTCAACAAAGACTCAGCTCTTTGAACAATAAAATTAGAAAGACGTCATATGTTCCCGTTCCGTCGTCAGAGCCAATGATAAATTTGCTTTTAACAGATCGACGGCGAAAATATTTTTCACAGTGTGCTCGGCAGCGAACGCAAAACCAGGCGAACGACAAAACATTTGAATTCAACTTTTGCAATGAGAGTTCTTATCGACGGAATCATTGCAGTCGGTATATTCTACTTGTATCTTCTCCCAGCCAAGAAGTACAATGTCTGGGGGCAACCGAAGCAAAATATCACCATTGCGGCGCTTGCTCCCATGACAGGCGAGTGGGATGTTGGTCGAACGACGGCCGCCGCGATGCCCATTGCCGTCGAAGATATCAACAACGATCCATCTATTCTCCCGAACCATCGGCTTCAGTTTGTGTTCGGAAATACAAACTGTTCACCGAACACAGCGCTACCTTTAGTAATGAACTTCTGGGCGCAGCAGAAGCGAGGAGTTGACGCCTTTATTGGGGGTGGATGTAACCGAGTGTGTGAATACATCAGCTTGTTGGCTGGAAAATGGAATCTGCCTGTCATATCATGGGGGTGTATGTCTGCTCATTTGTCCAACAGAAACACTTTCCCAACATTTGTACGGACTGTAGGTGAGTTTAATCAGACACTGTTCTTCGAATTCATCGGAGATTACATATCATTACTCGCTTCTTCTTAAGGAAGGAATTGTTCGGTGTTATTATGTAAGCATATTTTTTTCCCTTTTCTCTTGTTTCTGAAGGTCCCTACACCAAAATGGAAAAGTTGCTTAAACGTCTGATGGAACATTTCAACTGGAAACGAGTAGCCATAATCGCCTCCACCGACGACATCTGGCAGATCGCGGCCAATCTTGTGAAGATTGAGCTCCTGAAACACAAAATTAACGTCGCCCACTTTCATTCTTTTATACCTGGTCGTCTTCATATTCTGGAGAGCAGGATTGTAAGACACGCTGATCTCATTCGTAGAGCAGCAAAACGTGCAATGAGTAAGTATAAATGAATGAAGTAGCAAACTAACGAGAGAATGAACCAAAGAATGGATAAAAAATCAGAAACGAACACTTCTGGGGAGTGGTTCCGATAACAGTGTTACTGCGCCTTCCATGCTGTCCTATTAACCGTTTCATTCTATGTAACGTCTCCCTATAATATAAATACATTTTCCAGTAAAACAAATAATGAGAATACTCAAATTCGTCAGTTAGAAGTTATTATCTTGATCTAGCACAAAATTCTTCCATCTAATTGACCAGGAAATTAGCATCAGAGGGGAGGATTAACAATCAGATCTTAGAAGTCAATGGGTTTAATTAAGACCTCTCCTCACACCGGAGGACAGCGATCAAAAGTCAAACACGCCTTTTCGGGCCGGGGAAGGAGGAGGCAGTAAATCGAAATGAAAGTAATCAAGAGAATTAGTAGTGTTAGAAACCGCGATTTACTAACCGACTGGGTCTCTTGAAATAAATACAATTTTCCAGCTAAAAAAATTTTAATTTGCAGTTTTCATACTTCTCTGCGATGGAGGCGACATCCGCGAAATCATGTTGAACTTTCTGGATCTGGGGCTGTTAAACGGAAACTATGCTTTCATAACCGTCCACTTGCCCAAACGGTGAGTTTTTATGTCTGTGAAGCGAAATTTGACGGGCTTAGGTATTCGTTATTCACTGTGACGTCATTATGTGAATTGCAGTTCTTACATCGGCAACAACACGTGGATGGGTAATGACGGCAGAGATAATGACGCTAAGAAAGCTTATGAAGGGGTATTGAACATCGAACAGAAGTTTGGAACAGAGAAGCGTTCAGGCGCTAAAGTATCGGCGTTTGTGGACCGCATCAAGAAGCGAATGAAACAAGAACCGTTTAATGTGGACTTTCCAGAAAACAGAACAGTGAGTAACTATTAGGCAGTTTTTTTTACATCCACCTTAGGGGGTATAGGTAGTCCGCTTCGTCTGACTGGGGTGCTCATGGTGTCTTTTGGGGAAAAACATTTATGAATTGGTATCACATAAACTCTTCAAAACTCGTGAAAAATGACCGGAACTGCGACTGTTTGCGAGCCCAGCTTGCATACCACAACCTCTCGCTTGCAAAAAAACATCCAAATATTAAAATAGAACTGCGATCTTTGAGGGGTGCGGGTGGGGGAAAATTGCAATGAACTAACGTCCCGTCTCAGGAGAGTGGCAGTACTCCCTATCTCATCACGCTTTTGGAATTCATCTGCGCCGCTATAAATTTTTAGTAAAACAGTGAGCCAAAAAACTCGTTAGACTTTCTCAGCCAAGTGACCTTGCGCTCATCTTAGAGGGTTCATTGAATAATTGACGTGTCTCTTCACCTTATCAATAAACATAATATCATTTCTCTTATCTCAGGTGGAGGCGTATGCAGGAACAATGTACGATGCCGTTTGGTTGTACGCCCTAGCTGTGAACGAGACTCTGGAAATGGGGACAAGTATTAGAAACGGATTAGAAGTCGCTAAGAGAACATACAACAGACTTTATGAAGGTATTCTGTTAATGTCTGTTAGTTTTCTTGTGCATGACATGAAGTTCACCGATGCTGAAGCACAGTCACTGTGCTGTGCGCCATTATAGTTTTAATGATCACTCTTTAAGATAATGAAGATACCCCATTAATAAAATTTAAAAAATATTTTTGGAAAATCTTTTTTAAAAGTTCCGTACAACAATCGGTGAAAATACCTTAGTTAGGAGAGAACGATGCTAAAGGACCGAAGCGCTCCTCCTCCTCCTAACTCCCTCTCCCACCTTCAATAAAACACAACGTGCGCATTTATTTTTTTAATTAACCCGCATTATGCTCCCAGGTATCGCAGGCCCAGTGTACATGGACAGAAATGGCGAGAGAGATCCTGATTATGTGATTCAAACTCTCATCGATGACCGATTTGAAGACATCGCGTATTACACTCGATACAACGACAATTTTACTATCAGGGAGGGTGTGACCATCGTTTGGCCAGGAGGGGTAACGACTGCACCGAATGATAGTCCCGAGTGCGGATGGGACGGGGAGCTTTGTTTAACAGACAGCCGTAAGTACTGAGAAGCTGTCTCTTATAAAATTCCATTTCAACTTAGCTTGTGTGCTTTTATAATTATGTTCTCCCTTTGGTTACCCAGTTGTGTCCACAAAATTGTATACTAATGTACTGAAAATGTTTTGCGAAGTTCTCCGTGTTCTCCTCTTGAATTTTAAGCGCTGTTTTCCTACAATATATTTCTCATATCTCACGACCCCTCATTTTTAAAATCTATCACTTGTAGCTGGAAATTCTTGGCTTTCAGGTTTACAGAGACTTCTTGCTTTCGTGGTGGAACTTGCGCTCAATAACGACAGTTTCGAAAGCGTGATTATACATTCTGATATGCATGCATTGTTCTTTACTTCCCCAGAGGACAGCACGACATATATCATCATAGCCTGCTGTACTGTGTTTGGATTTGTCTTTGTCACCATGGTTTTTGTCTTCGTTTACAGGTACATTTGCCATTTGACTTGTTATTAGGAGTTAACAAAATAAGTGCACTGCGCCTCAATAGTTTAGCCGGGCGGAGGGATGGGGGAAGGGGAACACAAACTTACTGAGGCTGGGTGGGGGTGTGAAATTGATGCCGATTTAGAAGCCAGCACAAAGCCTTTTATTTAATTTTCCTTCAGGAAGCTGATATTCGAGCTGGATCTTGCCCAGAATCAAACTTGGAAGGTCAAATTAGAGGATATTGTATTCCGGGACACTGTTAACCTGTTTGAGACCTCGGTAAGTTGAGTTAATTGTATCGTACAGCTTCAACGATTGAGTATTTGGATCATAACAACGCCTATACTATGGATCCTAAGAAAATGATTTGTCGACTCGACCACTTAACAAGTAAGTTTTATTGTACTTAATCCTGAGTCGAGCGTGTTAACCATCAGGCCTCCTTCATGCGAAAGTTAGCGCGATTTTGATTTGATTAGTTTTGATCAGCATGGGGAACCACCATCGTTATATCAAATATCATCGTTCATGCACAATATCACTTCGATATTTTGTTTCATTCCGTATGTAAATATCAAATTTTATCTCGACAGAACATGAACCTGGGTTCACTTAGGAGCATGAAGTCTCAGCTGATAGTAACTCGCCCCAGTCGCCCCAGTCGCCTCAGTAGCGTCGGCAGCACTAAGTCATGTGCTAGCTTAAAGTCAGCTGATACGCAGTGCTCAGCCAGATGGAGCTTGCACGAACAGGTCTTCTCATCTGGCTTTACCAACATCGCTTTTAATAAGGTAAAAATGGTTGATTGCATGGGTGGATGTTTGGCTATTTTTTTTCCAGACTCCTCCGATCGTTTTCGCAGGGGACTGGACAACAGTTACGTGGAAACCTTGCGGTAACCAGATGAATAACCTCTTAACCCTTTAACTCCCAGAAGTGATTCACATGTATCTTCTCCCTACAATATCCATGCACTATCCAACAAACAGGTAATGAGAATACTCAAATGTATCGGGTTAAAGTTGTTATCTTGATCTAACACCAAATTCTTGCAACTAATTTACAAGAAAATGTGTAGCAGCTAGAGGGGAGAATTAACAATCAGATCTCGGGAGTTAAAGTGTAAAGAGAAAAGCCTTATTTAATATTTTTACACACCCTCATGTTTCCATTCTTTAAAGATCTTGCCGAAACTTGCTGTGTCGGCAAAGTTTTGCCGTATTTCCGTAACACCACACCAGATCTAATATTTTTGGTCGTTTTTTCTCCTTATTCGTTGTCTCTTTCCTACTTTTTGTCTGATACACTCATTTTTTCATGTTTTTAGGGAGAGCTTGTTGTGGTTAAACACACAAAAAAGAAGGATCTGAGAATTTCCCGTAAAATCCTGATTGAAGTTAAACAGGTAAGGATGCCAGCTTAATCACGTGTACATAATCAGAGAGCCTCGATTTTGTGTACTAGACTCAGTCTTCCTGGCTCACATCAAACACATAGCTACCCTATCGAACTTTGACCATTTTGTTACAATGTGACGCAGTCTACTCCCTCAATGACTTGCCTGTACTGTTATTTTAGGCGCGAGAACTACGCCATGAGAACATTAATCCCTTTATCGGAATCTGCATCGACTCGCCTCAGGTCATGATTCTCTCCAAGTACTTGAAACGAGGCAGTCTTCAGGTATGTAAAGATTTAGTCTCGTTACCATGCTGTGCTTGTCAATGAGCCTGCAATGATTGCTTAGTAACAGATTGCGGTTTATCAGTTGTATTTGTTTTTAATTTTGTATTGAAATCGTACTTTTAAACCTTTTGCGTAGGATCTTTTAGAAAATGAAGATTTCAAGCTGGAAGAAATTTTTATCCTTTCCTTGGTTCGCGATGTCGCAACGGTAATGTGTTGTTACTTATTAGATAGTACGGAAAGTTTATCGTCGATAAGAAAAAATTATGACCGAGTTGTAAAAGTAAGGAGTTGAGAGAGGGTTGTTTATCGTTTTCGGAATCAGTACACTTTTCTGTTGAGTGTCATAAAACCAAAAACACGTGATCACAAAAAGGGACACATCCCAAGGAGCCAATGAAAAACGAGGTATTTTGTAAATGGATGAAATTTGCGGGGAAACATGAATTGTCAGGTCGCGATGGGATTCAGATTTGCTTCTGATTGGTCGAGCGATTGATGGGCTAACCATAAGTCCCAGATGTTTTTAGACATTTCATTTGAAAACTTTCCTTTTTAGCTGAAACAAATCCTTGATGATCATAAGTAGTTTCACTAAGCCGTTGTCGTTTAAAAAAACAATTACGATTCAAACTACTCAGAAGTGTGTATTGTTGAGTTTAAGCCTTGCTTCGACGCAGGGAATGATGGTGTTGCATAATAGTCCAGTGCAAGTGCATGGTCGTCTCAAGTCCTCTAACTGCCTGATTGATTCGCGTTGGGTATGCAAGATTGGAGACTGGGGACTAAGTGAGCTTCGATCACCATTAGACCGCTGTCAATTGCAAGAAGGGTCTGAGAAATACAATGGTATGTCACGTAATGTTTTAACCCTTCAACTCCCAAGATCTCATTAGCAATTCTCCTTACTGTCTGCCATACGATTTCATTATGTTAGTTTGGAGAGTTTGGTATTGAATAAACTAAAAATCCCCTAATTAATATTTTTCTTTATTCTCATCACGTGTCTGCTTGATGTTGTATTGATATTGTAAGGAGAAGTTCTGTCTTGGTCACTCATGGGAGTTAAAGGGTTAAATGCACTAAGTGTCAAAAGCCGACTCGTACAAAAAACTTTTGGCAACCATTTCTTTATGTAGGGTAATAATACGGAAAGAAGTTGATTGGTGCCGCTGCCCATTCTCTACAAAAATATTTGCGGTTGATTAAATTTAAACCAAATGTACAGTAATGTGAGGCAACTTCGTTGTGGAAAGCATGATTTTGATCGTGTGGTGTGACTCTCCGGGTAGAGGTAGTCAAATTTCGGACGGTAACGTTCGATTTTATTTCATGACAAAAATCGATTTGCCTCTTTTACTGGAAACTTCTCTTCAGGAAATTGACAAGATAATACTAAGGTTTTCTTGTAAGATTTTTGATTTGCTTGAAGACTTTTCTTTTTTTGGCCTCTTTGTAGATATGTTGTGGTGTGCTCCTGAACATATCAGTGATGGCGAAATGGACCACAGGGGATCCCAGAAAGGAGACGTGTACAGCTATGGTATCATTCTACAGGAAATTGCCATCAGAAAACCACCGTACAGCATGTACACGTTTGAGCCCCAAGGTAATATAAGAAGCGTGCATTTTGATAGCCTTTCTCGCGCTCTCAGTAAATAAGGACGAAGAATACGCGGGAGAAATGAGATCTGATTGGTTAAGAGGACGACGCAGTTATTCTCCATGAATCCCAAAGCGAGGTGAAACAAAACCAGTACATACAATAAACGGTTTCCTCGTGTTTTTCTCGCACTTTGCGTGCACTTTCTTCACTTCCCTGCTCGCAAAAACAATAACTCTTGTTACTCTATATTATTTGTTAAAGACAGACAAGATTTGGAATCTAGTAAACTGCAAAAAGTGTGGGAAAAATTGCGCACCCTCCCAATCGTCACTTATGACCTCTGCCTTATCGATTGGGAGTAACATGTCTTTATTATGTGACAGGTGATATGACTTGGTACGATTTTCTGAAGTAGTTTCATCCTCAGTGAAAACAGAGAGAGCCTGGAAAGAAATATTTGTTCGTTTTCGTTATTCTCGGCAGAGATCATTGCCCGTGTCATGGCCCATGAAGATCCTCCATTTCGCCCCGTGGTCGAGGAAAACGCCTGCAAATCGGAATTGCAGTCCCTTATGACGCAGTGCTGGGATGATGATCCTGACCGAAGGCCTCATTTTAATAAGATCCTGGATAGGCTCCGTAAAGTCATGGGCAGGTAAGTTGACTTTGTCATCACACACTCATTCCATTCTTTCTATTCCAGAAAACGGTTTTAGAACTGTTTCCCATTTTTCTTGGAACTTTTCAGCTTGAGTCTCGGCTTTTGATGGATGTCTTGCCACATGGTTAGCTAAGAAATCTAAACTTAGGCTTTCTCATGGCCTCACATCTCTGACACCAATGTTACTTCAACTCTATTTTTTTAGAGAATCATGACACCCTAGATCTCTGAAAATTGCATGGCCGGCAAGAAACCCATGTAGTAGACTTGAGGAGAGAGTTTCTTGTCAATTTTACGGGCATAGAAAGAAAAACCCGAATCTACAAATAAACGAAAGGGCTTAATTTTTCCGAATGATCAGACTTATATGATCTTTTTTTTTTTTAAGGGACGTGAACATTATGGATAACATCATGGCTCTTATTGAGAGGCATGCTGAAAATTTGGAGGCACTGGTTGAGGAAAGAACACTGTTGTTGATGGAAGAGAAGAAGAAAACAGACAAACTTCTTTATAAAATGCTACCAGTGTAAGGAACCTTACTGTTGTAAAATAACTAATTTCGCTATACCCCTTTGCCATTCTGAACCATTTTTATTGTTTGTGACTTGGTTAACTTCTATAATACCGTCCCTCAGAATCAAATCATCATTATTGGGTGTCCTGTGATCTAAGTATGACGGCAGTGTCTTGTGATCCACTTTCATCTCCGCTATTATTAGTCATCTTCATTTCCAAGGAAGTGCATATCATTTGCGACTGTTTCTTCATTGTATTTAACCATTATTGTTTGGTTTTTCTCTATGTTTTGTATTTTGTATTTTTATGAGCTTCATGATACCTGGTCACGATGCATTTGTTTACTACGCAGTGCTGTTGCAGAGCAGCTGAAGCTTGGTAAGCCTGTGACTCCAGAGTACTTCGACGAGGTCACGATATATTTCAGTGAAATAATGGCGTTCATTGATCTGGCTTCGGAAAGCACACCAATGGAGGTGAGACAATATCACTGAAACTCATGCCATGAAAAGCAACTCACTTCCTTTTCTAAAGTAAGTATAAGATTGTTGGTTGCTCAGTCGCAACGCTCACAGACGGATTCTTGTTTGTATGCCCGAGCTATGACGCAACATTGTCAACTTGCATCTTTCTCCTTAGCTTCACGCTCTGTTCAGTTGAAATAGTTTCTCTGGCTTCATGAGCGACAGTGTTTTGAACACATTTCTTTCAGGAATATCTAGATGGCTTTCTGTATTAAAATCTTACTTTGGGTTCTCACCGTCTTAGAGTTAGAAAAAAAGCTTTGCAGTAGTGTATAATGAACCGTTGAAAATACACACCACTCTTTCCGACTATCAAGACAATTAACTTCTTTCCATTTTAGATTGTTGCATTTTTAAATGACTTGTATCTTGCTCTGGACAATATTCTTGGAAACTACGATGTTTTCAAGGTAAGTAATGCAAAGGATTGACAGCTGAGACCATTTATTCTCTGAATCTTCCCCGAAAGAGTTCAGTGGCATTCGAGTAATCTTCGAATATTTACGTCAAGGGTTTGTTTTTTTTCTTCTGAAAATAAAAGAAAATTGACGTTGCCTTGCAAGTTGTTCGTAAGTGACGTGAAAGAAGGACATTGCTGAACCAAGTTGGTAGAGTCGAGCACTTTTTCAGTTCTCAGAAGGGGGAAAAACTATTTTTATTTACTCTTCTTCGTAGGTAGAAACAATCGGTGATTGTTTGTTGGTGGTGTCAGGCCTGCCAGTCAGGAATGGTAACCGCCATGCAGGAGAGATTGCAGACATGGCGTTTGACATTCTGAGTTTAATGACTCACTTCAAGATTCGGCACAGGCCACGGATGAAGCTGCAGCTCAGGGTTGGACTGCACAGCGGTAATACTGTGATTTGTTCCCAGTGTCGGCTCAGTGTCATTGCCGTTCTCTGCCAGTAGTTTGTTTGACGAAACTGGTGACACATGGTCAAAATAATGCTAGAGTCAGCAGACCTGAATCAAATGAAACAAAGTTTTTGGAAGTTGTGCTGTAAAAGAAGGGCGAGGGAAACAACGCTTAGAAGACACAGAATGGAAAATCAAATATGGAAACGACTCAAAATCCGTTTCCGCGTCAAACCCTAACGCATGCGTAGACGTTATTCAGCTCTGTCGCTAGAGTCAGGATCGATTCGTTCCTCCTTCCGTAACTAGACTGATCAGCCCTAATTTGGAATTTTTTTAGCGGCAAGACGGCGTCTGTTAAATAGAAATAGACTTCAGCATCTTTATTTATCAATCATTTCTTGTTATTACCAGGCTCCTGTGTAGCAGGTGTAGTCGGAATCCACATGCCACGGTTCTGTTTGTTTGGTGACACAGTAAACGTGGCATCAAGGGTGGAGACCACTGGCCAGGGTAAGGGGCTCAAGTTTCCAAACGCAAGTAACTCTATTATCGCCTCTGTCTTTCGTTTCTGAACAACTTAAATATAACCTTACTTTGGTAACGGATTCTGAGACTGAATTGCGATCGTTCCCAAGGAAAATACATATCGATTATAATAGTTTAGATTTATCAATAAATTTCCTCATGATTCAGATGAACCCAAATCAAGTCTTTTATCCGGAAAATTATTGACAGGAAGCAGTGATATTAGTATAAACAAAAAAGTAATAAAACAGAAAAACTTCTAGGAGAGGTAAGTTGATGTACTCTCTTTTCTTGTTAATCTTCTATCAAAACCTACCTTCTCTCAGCTCTCAAGATCCACGTGAGTGAAGACTGTTACAGACTTTTGAAGGAAATTGGAGGATACACATTTCTGAAGCGAGGCGAGGTTTATCTCAAGGTATAGAACTTTTAAATTAACCCCGCCATCCAGTTTGTTGTTTGCTCTAAAATGCGGAAAAATTTGTTTGTATAAAGAAGTACTCTCAACCAATCTGTTATTGCGTGCATGCAGTTTTCGTCAACCATTTGCAGACAGTCATCACAAGAATAGTCAAAGGAGTACACCACCGGCGCGCCTTTGTATTTGAGAACCCAACTCAACTGGCTTAATGTGCGAGAAAAACACTCTTGACCGAGTAACTTGGTCTAAGTTTCACATCTGATTGGTTGAGATCCCTGATTGGGCAAATTTTTCGACAAGTGCAATGTAAGACTCCTATCCACATACAATCGAAATCAACTGGAGTCTTCGATCAATGACAGCTAGTTTTCCAAAACACTAGATTATAACAAGTGCAGTGTAAGACTCCTATCCACATACAATCGAAATCAACTGGAGTCTTCAATCAATGACAGCTAGTTTTCCAAAACACTAGATTATAACAAGTGCAGTGTAAGACTCCTATCCACATACAATCGAAATCAACTGGAGTCTTCAATCAATGACAGCTAGTTTTCCAAAACACTAGATTATAACAAGTGCAGTGTAAGACTCCTATCCACATACAATCGAAATCAACTGGAGTCTTCAATCAATGACAGCTAGTTTTCCAAAACACCAATAGAGAGAACGTATCCATTTGAAGAACACCACTACTGGAGGACAATAGAACTAGTTTGTTATGAAGTGGCTTTTCTTGTTTTTTGTTTTTCAGGGACGTGGTTTTTGGAAAACATACTGGCTGATTGGCAAAGAGGGATTCAACAAGCCACTGCCTCACGCTATGACGGCGAACTCAGAACCATCTGTTGAAACTTTGAACATTTACTACGCAAGTTAACTTAAGTCTTTTTTAGACCGTCTTCATCGCAGGGGTTTATCTATTGGTATCACTTCAACCTTCCTCACATTTCACAAAAGATGGGCAAGTTTAATTTAACCAAACTAAGAAAAATGTTGATTTCGTCATCCAAATCAAAATTGCTCATGGGTGGTGGCTGATTGAGCTGTTTTCCTGTATCATTTAAAATCAGGAGTGACTGTAGAACCTTTAACACTTGATTTTCTTTTTCATCAGTATCTCTAAGCATTTTAGCTCCACAGAGCGCGGACAGTGGAGTGGTTTAAATTAATCAGTGAAGTTCAGTTGGCATAGCCTAGGTTCCAGTCCTCTCTCCTTGTGTCACCTCATTCTATTGCCCAGTTCCTCTCTGCCTTGTGTATAAATATTTTTGTGCTCTCAATTACGAGCCTATCCAATGATAGTTTACAAAGTACCAACTCATTCGTAGAACAAAACACAATAGCTGGCCAAACATAAGCAAAGTCAGCTTTAGTTTTCTGTTTCTTTTGTTTTGAGCAACTTGATGGAATTAGTACAGATTACATTATTATAACTTCATGGAGGGACTGAAAGTTGCTGCTGTTGTTTTTAATAATCAGATAAATTATAGCCATGTTAACATTTGTTTATTCTTTAATTATTTGGAGATTTCATCAACAGCTTAAATGGGGAAATGTCAGTATGTGGGCAACTACCCACCCCTCCCCTAACCCAGGAACAGTCAACTGACAACAACTTAGGGTTAATGTAGGCTTAGGGGAGGGGTAGGTGTACAGTTTCTCAAATACTGACGTGGATCTGCCTTAATTATATAAAGCACAATAAATTAAACACCAAAAACAAGAGTTATCGATGTATGTAGGTGTTTCTGTGTATAGCTTTTGAAGTAAATGACATCCCCCTGGAGTAAAAATCACATTGTCAGAGAGCAGACACTGACAAGCCTTAGCATCATTTTGCAAGCCTGAGGCTCTTTCAACTCCTCTTTATCTTAAATTTTCCTTCCCTCAAAACTATTTTCTTTCTCAGTTATCCATATTTTGTTTCATTCAGCAAATTATGATGATTCTCTATAGTTCAGACCACACATTGACCAGACCCCTGCCACCCCTCCCCCCATTATAAAAAGTTCACTCTGTCAGGAGCTTAGTGCTAAGTTGAATCAACTTCTGGAAGGAGAAATAGCTTTTGAATTGTTGAATTAAATACCCAAAAAGTTTTGATCTAAAAAAAACATCTTGCATTTTCCCCTTCAGTGGACCTGCACTGCCACCCCTCCCCCAATTATTAAAAGTTCACTCTGTCAGGAGCTTAGTGCTAAGTTGAATCAACTTCCAGAAGGATAAATAGCTTTTGAATTGTTGAATTAAATACCCAAAAAGTTTTGATCTAAAAAAACATCTTACATTTTCCTGTTCAGTGGACCTGCACTGTTTTTATAAACCTGTCTTGATTTACTTGGAACATTTACAATATCTGATCAATGTGGGTACCTGAGCAACTGTGCACCTACCTCTCCCCTAAGTCAACAACTGTCCTTTGATGACAAGTTAGCCTTAATGTTGGGTCTGGTAGGGGCTGGTGCACAGTTGTTGCAATACTAATATTGATCCATATTTTTTTCCTAAGATGACCTTCACTGTTAAAGTTTACTGGAGAACAGCTCAATGTTCTGTGACTGCATCAAGAATTGCTTTATCTCTCTTGCAGTTTGCTCAGGATTATCCATATGAAAATGGTGACCACCTTCAACCTTTTTCTTCATGAGAAATTTGGCATTTTGACACAATAGAATAGGTCTTTCTCTTATTTCTATTTCTATCTTACTAGTTGTGCCTTCTAAGACCAACATGGATGATTTAATCCTACACAAAATTAACTTGATAGAGACCTCAGGAGAGAAAAACGGACGAAAAAGTCCTCTGACGACTGGATCATGGGAAAATATAACACCCTCGTTGGTGACTTTGGTTCCCCTCTTGGTTATCGACAACGCACTTTCCTTGGACAAAGGGTAATATGGATTGGTATCCTCGGTTTCTTCTCGTCTTACTGCTGCTTTTTCTACGCTTTCGTAAACACGAGGATTAGCTGGTTTGATGCTCGCCATTTTGGTGGCGTAAGTAGCTAGCACCTCAGCGGGGCGATTTCCAAACCGAGGATGCGGTCCACCGCAATCGATCAAAATTAGGTTCTCTACCTCATCAGGAAAGCATCCAGCATACAGCATTGCCACATAGCCCCCCATACTGTGGCCTATAATCGAGAATTGTTTCCATCCTAGCTGAAAAACGACCTTCTTTACATCAGCAACATATTCCAAGTTGTTGTATCCAATCCCTAGAGGACGATGAGAAGACATACCGTGGCCAGAAAAGTCCATCGCGATAAAGCGAATGTTCTTGGGAAGCAACGGAACTAGCTTGTCAAATGTGTTGGCGTTGTCTAGCCAGCCGTGAAGGCCAAGAAAAGGCTTACCGTTCTCGGGACCCCATATTTTAGCTGCAATAACACCCCAAGGAACATTAAAAGAAGTTTCTTGCCCTGCAAATTCCGCCGCCATATTGCATAATCAAAGTGCTACTAGCCCTAGTCTTTATCTCGTTTTTACGCAAACGAGGCTCATAAATCACGTGAGATAATTTGCCATCGGCCATCACAGCCAAATTCAGAAACACCAAAAGATGATCAGAATTTGTGGCCCTAAACTAGCAAATTGTTGCTTTTTGATAAGCATATGGGGTATTATAATGTTGGTGAGTTATTTTGGCAGCGATCTGATTAATTTCATGCGTTTGTGGAGCTACGATAGTTGACGGTGTGTCTTGTATCTCTGTAATTGATGACTTCTATTTTACTCCGTTTGTTTCAGTTGTTGTTAGGAGTATTTTTCAGTACAAGAAGCGTAGCACTCATAGAGGATATTCCTGGCAAAATGAAAGAATCAGAAGGTTATAAATCATCGGCAAAGTTAGTATTAAAATTGCGTTACGAAGAGATTGAAATAGAGGTTATTAATCTTGATAAGCATCAGATTATGCATAAACAAGCTGAGAAAGTGTTTTAGTGACACGTTTACTGAGGGAGAATGTAAGACGCTTGATAAACGCGTCTTACTTGATCTCAGGGGAATCTTAGAGAGGTGACGAGAATTCCTGTGATATAATGTATCCAGGTTAAAAAAATGCATTGAAAAATGGTTTGTACCATGCAAACCAGAAGCATGTGACCTAGAACAAGATTATATGCTTCTGTTTAAATATAATACCATGTAATTGTGAAAAGTGCCGTGACTGCACCTGAACACTCGTGAATTTACTTAAAGTGGTCCAACTTCACTTGTGATTTATATTAGTTTTGTTTTTGTATGCATCAAGGCACATAAATGTATCTTTGTTAAGCCCTATGGGGGAAACCCAGGGAATTTTATTGAGATTGTTTGTAGTATACACCATGTCAGGCTGTAAGAACAATATCTTTCACATTCACTTACACCTGACTCTCTTTTTGTACATTACCCCAGGGGAAAATATCTGACTTGCAGTTGGTGACAAGGAGTGGGGAACTTGACTCTGAATTTCATGGGAATTGCAAATCCCCTTGGGTGAACCATCACCCTGTTCCTTAATAATGATCAGTTCAGAATGGTAATCACACATTATTCTACCTGAATGCTAAAGCAAATAAAATTTAAATCAATGATACCATTGAGCTGCAATGTTTGGAAGCTTTCTACCAAGTCGCACAACATATTTTTTTTCAGACATAAATTTGTGACTTTAACATCAACCCTAAGATTTATAGCACTGGTGAAACTTTAAGCTTTATTCTCTCTTAGCTGCATCATGAAATATCACTGAGTGTGATTAAGCTTTTCATATTAACCATAACATGATGTTATCCGATTTTTTACCCCACAGAAATTGTTACATAGCTGCTGGAATTTATGCTGTTACAATGGTTGTTGCAGCACATCAGAAATGGGTGAATAGTCGGACTGGAGACACACAAAAGTTGTAAGTGCATATCTCTTGTACATCCTGAAAAATGTATTATTCTTTACACCCTCTATGATAAAAATATATCAATATTACTAGGTATGGATCTATGTGGAGTTTTTTTTTTTTTTGTGTGTTAAGTCAACACTTGGCAGACAATAAATTTTCTCTACAAATATGGTGTTGCTCAGGGGAAAAGAAAGACATAAATTTGTGAGAAGATCAATAAAGTATCTGCTAAGTAAATTGTAAGCGTATACTGAATAAGGGAAGTGAAAGAAAATTTTGGATAGTTTTACAGCTGGTTTTGTTTGTATAGGTGTAAATGTATGTCCACCTTTGATATTTTACTTACTGTCTTGCACTTAAATTCTGCAGTTCATTTAGTTACATAGGGTGATAATTTCAAGATTGAAAGAATGTAATAGCTTTTGTGTACTTCTATGTTACATCTTTTGTGATAAAATAATTTTCTTATACCTCTCTAGGACACATACTTGAACAAGCCTGTTCCAAAGCTGTCATTTCCTAATGATTCTAATTGTTTAACAATTTCTTTTTCTGAGCAAATACTGCTTCAATAGGCAAACTCAATCTGTGCAGTCTTAGAGTATAAGTGTTGTTCTATTTAAATATTCACTAATTTCAAGACAGTTTGAACACAGACTAATTCATTTGATAACCAACACTATTAGTTTTAACTTGAAATTTGGCAATGAACACTTTCCGCCAAATTGTGTGAGAGTTTACAGCAGTGCTGGTGTAAAGTTGAAATCAAAATTAATCTTAATATATAGAATTACACATTCAATTAAAAATATATATGCCCACAAAAGGACAATGCATGAACAAATGGGTAATAATTTCATAAATACTGTAGTTACTAAATGCGATGAAAGTGCTATTACAGTCAGTTCCAATTAAGTGGCCCTAATCTTTTGTAAAGCACTGTGATGTAGGGAGGTATGGTATATAATTTTGTGAGAGATTATAGATTATTTTTTTTGGATTTTCGTTTTTATCGTTTGAAAAAGAAGAATGTTATTTTTTTGAAAATAAGTTATGGTTTTGGTGAAATATTTATTGCAACCTTTAAAAGGCATTTGATTCCAGAGAGAGAGGTCTTCCAAAATACTGGTACTGACAAAAACCATGTGTTTATTTAGTTACTGTTGTACTTAGGTTAATGCAGTGAGGATTAAATTAAAACTTCAAAGTATTGTTAGTTTGTGTGGTTTTTCTGTTTCAGAATTGAGAAATGCTTACCAAATTAGTCTCACAAGTTTGTTTTTTTTCCTAATCTTTGCAAACTGATTTGAAGTGTCATATTTGTCTAAAATTGTGAAATTATTCAAACCAGAAGTCAGCCAAAATAGTCATGCCAAGTATGATCTTTTCATTTTAAAAAGAGAATATCATAATACCACATCCTGACTTCATTAATGATTTTCAATAATTTTTTTCTATTGAATGAAAACTTGAGATTGACCCTTCAAAATTTGGTTAATTAATTTTTTAGGGAGGAGAATAGGAAAAAGAAATCTTTCTAGATTTTTGTTAAAAAAAAATGAAAAAAAAAAGGCTTTTGAGCTTTGGAGAGGAAGCCTGGTTTGCTTCTTTATTGAAATCCATCATTCTCAGTTTGGAAACAGTTTTAAACAATTATAAGAGTTTTTCCTCATAAAAGAAAAAAATATATATTTTGTTTAATAACAGTTCTTTGAACTTAACCAGACCAGTCTCTATCTACAGTTAACAAGCTAATTTTGATTCTTTCCTTTATATACCTCATAAATTATTTACACATTGTTTCCATTTTCTCATCCAATCACATGGTTTTCTGTTGTCTGAAAGCTTCTTTTTCATTGGCTTTCAAAGGTCAAGCAGGTTGTCCTTTGAATGTGTGATAAATATTGCGATGTTTTTCTTCAAGACTGACTGATATGATAATTTTTATTCAGTTTCAAGCTTGTTGTAGTATATTTATCTGTAAACTCCTTGTGATAAACTTTTTTAAAACCAACTTAAATACATGTATTGATGGCTTAAAGAATCTAGCTTTTTCTTGTAGTTCATTCTTGCTTTATAAAATTGCATCAAAGCACTGAAACTATGTTGAAAATTTTTTATCTTTCTTTTAAAAAATCTTAAGGAAAACTTTTCAAATTTTCTTGTTTTTGTATCTCTACTTTTCCTTCTTTGTGCTTTTCAAAAGATAGTGTACACTGTTCAAGTAATTATTCATTAGCATCCTGTATTAACCACCTGTTTGCCAGCTGGTCGATGATAATTTTGTGTGTGTGATAAATTACCAGTGTCATATCTCTCACAGGAGATAAGTAATTTTTCATCACATTGCATCTTTGAAAAACTAATCTTTCAAAAATTGGTGACTTTGAAAGTTTGTTTCACATTAGTGACTCATGAGACTTGAGATTTGGCAAAAAAATATATAATTTTAAGGAAATTAGAAGGAAAGAAAAGCATGAAGTAAGCTCTTTCATGTATTTTCTGCTAATTTTCATTGAGGTTAATTTACTGTTGTTACTATTTTTCCTTTACTTCTTCCCTTGGAACTGATAGTTTTATCTGTTAAAAATTTTTCTTCACATGTACTTTGTGCAAAAATTGGCTTGTTACACTGATATTTAACTTGAATGTTTACACTTTTATTTTAAGCTGCAGATTATTTTCTGCTTGAACCAAAATCATTAATTGTTCCTTGCCATGATAAATGCCCAGAACCTTTTTTTATAACTTACAATTTAATTTTGTCCCAGGTACTTAGATTAAGAAATAGAAACTTGTTTGAATGTTAATTCAAGGTCATTTTTAAGTTTTTTTTTTAACTTTTTCCCCTTTTTTAACACCTCACTGCTTCTTTATTCAGTCTTTTTCATCATCAATATTGTTTTAACCTTTCAGGGTTGTGACGTAAAGATTGTACATAGAAGTTACTGCCAAGTGAATGTAGCTAGATTTACCACTAAATTTGTCACTAGTGGTAGTAACATAGTCTGTTTTGGGAGCTACATGTATGAATGCAGAGACTATTGTGTGATCATATGAAATAATATCTAGATATATATTAAGTATATGTATTTAATTTCTTTGTAAACTATCAATGGCAGAAATAAAATAGAATTCATTAGAATTACTGATCAAATCTCATACTAATCCTTTTAAAGTTAATTTAGGATATGCTGATAATGGATCATAACCATAACACAAAGCCAGCCTAATTTTTGGTTAGAATTTCAGTATTGACAAACATTTTTTTGTTAGTAAACTGTGTTTGTAGGGTGAAATGGGTTTTAATTTTAATTTGGGTTTTTGCTGTTTTGTTTTGCAGTTATGTTCAAGCGTAGCTGTGATCTATGTGTTCTAGTATTGTTTTGAGTAACCTTAACAATTATTATTTTTTGTGAGAAAAACATACATGTAATAAGGTCAGAAATGGTGATGAATAGTGTATTCATGTTGTGAAGCAGATTGAGTCAATTCAACAGTGACTACTTTTAAAAACGTAAGGTAAAAATGTCTGAGGCAAGAGATACCTTTCAAAGAACCAATAGATTACTGCATTATCTGGTAAGAAATTCTGATTGCCTTATTCATTGTAGGAACCTCCCAATATAATGAAAATCATTCTTTATCCCTTAACAATTAAATTTTAAGTTGTAATTTTATTTTTCAAACATATGATTGGTATCATTTTGACTGTAGTACAATTCATAACCATAGGCAATACAAGTTTTTCAGCCTTACTACTAATGATCTCCTGTCTCAAGAAGTGAGAGTGGTTGTTAATTTTGTCTTGCACAATTAGTTTTAAAGATTAGGCAAGTTTGTGCTAATTTATAACTGTTTGTGAATGGAGGTGTAACAATACAAATACAAGTTTTGTGATAGATTATCACTACTCTTCAAATGCAATTGGTTAAAGAGTTTTTGTGGTGTGAGCATCATGAAGAAATTAATTTTATGCTACATAATACATGTAGGTTAGTATGGTGACTAGAAGCAGATATTGAGTTAAGAATTTGGTGATAAATCAAATCATTGTATTGTAATTTATTTCCACTATTGCGCAAGGGGAAATCGGAAATACTGGAAGCTCCAGGGTGAACAGTTGGTAACCAAATTAATAGTGCGCTGTATAATTCCTGTATACATATGCATGTCTTCTTATTCCAAAGAACAGAAACTTTCAAATGTTGTTAATAAAATCCTGAATGAGAGAAGATGTTGGTTGGTTTACTTTGTAGACTTTAAGTGTCTAAATGTGTCTGCTATGTATACTCCCCGTGATGTCAATGGTTATTACACCATCAAGAGAAAAAATGAGACACCTGCAACAATGTGTGTGGTAATTTCATTCTTTTATTTATATAATGGGTGGAGAAAAGTAGAAAAAAATTAAGCACTTGGCAAGGACACAGAACTTGAAGGGAGAAGAAATGGCACAGGGGAGTAGGAATGGTGCAGGGAAGTAGAGATGGCACAGGGGAATGGGAATGGTGCAGTGGTGAGAATGCTCGCCTCTCACCACCGTGGCCTGAGTATGATTCCCTAGACTTGGCATCACATGTGGGCTGAGTTTGTTGTTGATTCTCCTCCTTGCTCCAAGGGTTTTTCTGCAGGTCCTTCTAGTTTCCTTACTGCACAAAAATGGACATTTCCAATTCATATTTGACCTAGGAACAGTTGAAAAGATGATCCACCACGTGGAATGTCCACCGCTAAATTATAATTCCTGTTACCATTAAATAATATTTCTAATTTCTTAAAAACCTCACAGAACTCCATACTTAAAAAGCACTTCCAAGGTTTTTAATAATCATGTTGTTCTCACTGACAACATCATTTCTATAGCCTTATTGGGCTTTCAACCATTCACCAGCCAGGCAAGTCTTGAGATACGCATCAAACTGTTGAACTAATGACCAATCATCTACTTTGGTAACAACATTAAGCTGCTTGTTAGTTACATCAATGACAGCTTCCACCAGGAAGAAACTTTGTCCCAAAGCCTGAGGAGAGAAAGGTAGTTAGCACTTTTCTTTTGAATTAACCTTCCATCACTATAGACTAAGGAACCAGAAACAGGGCTCCCTTTGAAGACAGTTGTTCTTACCTTGCAAAATAATGCAAAGGGTTATAAAAGAAAGAAGAAATTCACATTTAATTGTGGGCAAATGCATCATGCAAACATAAGTGAATTTGTGAAACACTCAACCTGTTTGCTGTTTCAGTCTCACTTGAGTTCAGTCTCTGTACTTGAGTGGTAAAGTCCAAGTTAAGTACATAATTAGAGTATTTCCCTACCTGCTGTGCATAAAAGAAATATCTCCGTAGAGATTGACCTGGAGGGCTGCTGGCCATCAGGACAATCTTATTTTTGGAGAAAAGTTTCTGAAATTCCTCAGGAGTGGATGGAACACGAGCCATGGGTTCATCCCAACAGGAACTGATGGTACAAACAAATGATAAACCTTCCATTTTGTGATTTTATCATTTCCCTTATTTATCATGATTTATTTGCAGCTTGCTGGACATTCTTTTCCTTTGCAACAAAAGGAATTATAAATAAGGGTGGTTTTAAGTGACTGGTGAGCTGACCGTTACAACTGAAAACAAACTTGCAGGAGGGCTGTGCTTGTCATTTCTAATTGAGAGGACCCCAATATAAGCCTGTTCTTTATTTAAGAGTATATCATTTTGTCAATGCTATTGGCTAATTGTTTAAGGCTTCCATACAAGTCATGTACACACACAGTTGTAAGGGATGGACTGTTAGAAAGTGTTGGGGGAAGGGGTGGGGATTTTGGGAGATGCAAGAATTATTTTGCCCCTTAGAAACTTAAATGGTCACCCCACCCTCCCCCCCTTCAATTTCCCAATTGTTTGCCCCTACCTCCCTTGTTAATTCTTATTACTGTGTCAATCATTTGAATTACCCTTCTGGAAGAGTTTTCCATTTTTGCTCAAACTGAGCAGGTGTCAAATCAGGGTGATCATTCAACTCAAGTATTTCCACTTCCTCTTCTTTATCCTCATCATGATGTTCACTTAAACCACCTCCCTATAAATCAGCATAAGAAGACCTGGCTTAGCTCTTTGTTTTCAGGGCAAACAAAAGCCAACATTATCATTTCAACAGTTGTAAAAAACCTGATTTACCAACAGATTGCCAACAACAACATGGGGATCAGAAGGAGTTAAATCTGGTGCTTTTGCTTCTACTTCTTCCATATAATTGTGCATTTCCTCTTCTTCTGGTGGATGAAAATATAAAATGTTGCTTTGTAATTTATTATTTTTTAAGATTTTTTTTTTTTAAGATAAAATTAATTATACTGGTAGAAATGTCTCCATATATACCTGGTTCCTTCTCTGTGTATGGAATTCCCTTTATGTAAGGTATAGTTTGGCTGATGAAGTGAGCAGATGGTTGCCCATATATAACTGACAGAGTGTTAAATTCTTTTAAGAGGGAATCCTACCAAAAGAGGAACATGTATTAATTAAATGTATGATATGGTGGCTCTAAGGTACAGTTTTATTCAGACTTGAAAATGCTTGAATTGTACACTTCATGTGATATAAATATATATAATTATATATATATTAGTTTATACCTTGGAATTTTGGGTGCTGGTAATTACATTCCATGGATTAGTGACTGGTTTGGAATCTGACCCACAAACTACCCTTTCAGCCTAAAGAAAGAACAGCACAATCAATGAATGAGTGACTTGAATTAACTGTAAGTTGAGTTTGAATTTTGTGAAATAAATAATTGACTTGTTGTTACCATTACCTCCTTTGCATTAGTTTTAAGAAGTCTGTAGTATAACAGAGCTCTGTCATGAACATCCATGTGAGTTTCCTCATCTGCAAAGAACAGGGTACTGAACCAAAACAGACACGTTGAATCAGTTTATCTAAATAACAATAGCTTAGAGACCTTTACTGCAAGGGCTTTTCCCAGTTTTTGTTGATAAAATCAACAAGGAGTACAGCTTTTATTTCAGATGTTATTCTATCACAGTTAACCCCCACAGACATCATCAATTCTCTCTAACAGTGTCTTCAAAACAAGGTTTTAAACAAAGTTCTCACTCCTTTAGCTACAGACCCTTAGTTTTCTTTTGTTTAACCCTTTAAATCCCAGACAAAATAGTAATTCTCCTTACTGTCAACCATACAATTCTTATAACATTAGTTCAGAGAATTTGGTATTGGATCAACTCATTATCCCCAAATGGATATTTTTCTTTATTCTTATCACTTATATGGTTGATATTGTATTGATACTGTAAGGAGAAATTCTGTCTTGGTCAGTTATGGGAGTTAAAGGGTTAAGACGATAAGAGAATGGAACACTCACCTACACAGAACTTAAGTAATCGACCCAGCATATCTTGACATTCAGGAGGTTTCTTGAAAAACAGTTTCATTGTTGCAGTAAGTAGCTGTAACTTCACCTCAGCAGATTGCTCTGACTCAATTTTGTCCACCAGAGGTTCTAACATATATGGACTGTCTGGAATTGACTGCCAATGAGAACAACATATCACCTAATTAAATTTATAACCAATTTCTACATAATTCTTGACACATTTTCTGAGGCTGCTTTCCAAATTACCTCAATGATTAAGAAGTAGCACACACAGAAAGATTTTATCTAAGATGACTTCATACAACCACTTTCTAGAAACATCTATTACACAACATAACTTTCATTGTCTTACATCCAAAAGTGACCAATGGAGAATTTCTCTTTTGAGTAGAAGAGTGACAAGGAGAAGAAATATGTCAGTTACAGGTGAAACCATGTTCCTGAAGAGCAACCCATCTAGCAGTGGCAGAGTGAGACAAAATAAAGTGCATTAAAAAGGATAAACCTGTAGGAATCTTTCCTCCTTTTCTCCTCTATTGTGCTCCTGTTTGTGAAAATAAGTTCTAAATAATGTATGTAAAAATCAAGTCTGCTGGTTCTAAATCTGATCATACCTCTCCATACTCTCCTAAAATCCAAATGATAGCTGATAATCCCTTAGAGTCCTGAACTACTTCTAGACATTCTGCTATCTCAGGCAAAACAGCAATGGCTGACTTCTCATACTTCAACAGCAAGTCTGTTAATGATACAAGCAAATGATTCTGACTGAAAAGTAACACAGACCTTGAGTAAATGCCATGTAAGGCTAAGGATAAGGAATGTCTTCCCTTAGTTAACTGATTCACTTACCTCTTATAACAACTAGAGTCTGTGAAGTAATGTACTCAATGTCCCAGGAGAGGAATGTGAGTAATACACTGATGCAGTATTCTGATGCCTCAGGAAGACACATGGTGATCTCACCAATAGCTTTGATTGATTTCTTAGAAATGTTTATGTCTACGTCATGAACATGAGCACTGTATAGATTTAAGAGAATTTTGTTACTACATTAAATTAAATATTGGTAGACTAAATACAGATAATTATATGAAACTTCAATTGTTAGTCCCACTTTGACAAGAATCATTGTCAAAGATACCCTTCACCTGCTAAAATTCTAGTCTTCATTGGAATTTCTTGATCCCTAATTGATACAGTGTTGCTCGACTCTACAATTGATAGTGAGTCTCTAAATCACATGACATATGATTAATCATTCATTAATCATCACAACCATGATGAACATATGTCACATCTTTTACAACAGTTCAAACACTATCAAAGCACAGAGATTCAAACACTTAACCCTTTACACCCTTACATCAATATGCATATTCTCCATACTATTCTCTTTACATTTCCTAAAGTGCTGACAAGGAGAATTAGTTTCACAGTCAAGAGAGCCTTACACTGGTGATCACTTCCTTTTTTCTCCTGACCTAAATGTGTGATTCAGGGGTTATATTGTAAGAGGAAATTAGATGCTAGTCTCTCGTAGTGGTTAAAGGTTTAATACACTTGCAAAGGTTAAGCCACGGGCTGCACGGATAATGAATGGTATACAGAAATTTGTGACTGTGATTTTCCCTTTCAAATTTCCTGACTATGCTCCTAGTTTTCTTTTTACTAGGAAAAACACAGCCCTTAGCTCTTGTAATTTGAACTCTGTACATATCACTTACCTTAACTCAGAAACAACTTCTTCAACATTAGAGTCAGATGCAATAGTAGTAAGGATCTCAAGCTTTTTGGTTTTAATATACAATGGATCAGTGTGCCTAATGAACAAACCAAGAAAAAAATATTTCACTGTCAATAATAATGAAATACCATGATTATTAACAACTTGCATTTGCTTTGAGAATTACCTGGAGAAGAAGGAGCGATATTCTTGATCAAATAATTTTGGAATTTCAGTCAGCAGAAGTTCAATGCAACATAGACACACATACACCAACTCGGCATTACTTGAAGAGACAATTGCCATAAGGGGACCTGTAAAAGAGTAATTTTAACATATTATTTTGCATTAACCCGGTAGATGCCTTCACCCATTATTTTTGACAGCATTCACAGCTGTGTCTAAATGGCTAAAACTCACAAACAGAAAAAGAGTCTTCTGCAGCCATCCAAAATCTGAGACTCTCCAGCTACTGCACAGAGTTCTCCAGCTAATTTTCAGTGGGCTCAGCTATTTGTCATTGATCGGATGTGGAAAAACTTCTCTTAGTCTACACTATTGACCTACCCTTTTTTATATCTTAATTTGATGAACACTCTGTAACCATACATGATTAACTATTTTGTTTACCAACTAAAGAATAGACCTTTAATTCTCTTGTACACATGTTCAGTTAACTCTTTCATATCCTTTGTCAGATGGATAAAAAGTTGAATACAGGCCATCACCACAGCACTGTTAGGATGCTTCAGACGGTCATCAAGCAGGTTCTAACAAATTCAAATAAATCACAACTGATTTTAAAGCTTTTACCTAGGCCTACAAATATATTTACAGTTACACTAATCACCAACTGCAGTATGGTTGATGAAGGAATAACAAAATAAACCTCATGCAAACACAATGGACATGTTGCAATAGTTTCAAAGTTCAAATCAAATTTCGCTGTTTGCAAGAGATGAAGCAAATTTCAGATCTTACTTTCCATTGAGTGGGCTCCATCTGTAAAACCAAGCAGTTCAGTCCAACTAGGAAATTCATAACTAAAACCCCTATTTTCTCAGTTTTTTGCCTTAAACAAAATGATGTAAAACAGCCATCTAGAGTACCTCAAATGTAATCAAAACATTGGAAAGATAATAATTTATACTTTCACTTTTACTGACCATTATTTCAAACATTTCATCTGTGTCACATAGTTTATAACGCTTCATTAGTTCCACAACCAAACTCTGCCCCCATCCACTGAAGGATTTTAATCTGGTCAATAACATAAAACACAATGATTAATAGATCATTGACACACACTACTACAAGTAATTCCTCAACATCCATAACAGATGTTTCCAGAGGCTGTAAACTATCATGCTACCAGTAATAATTTATTTCACCCTCAATGTAAATAAGTAAAATTAATGTAACCCATTCCAAAAGCCCTCTTATTTTTAAGATCAGTAACTAACTAAAGATAAATCAAGGGGTGCATAAAAAAAATGCCTCATGTGACTTCTGACAGAGTGTTATATTCTTCTTCAAATTGTCTTGTCCCTTCTTGTGAAACACAAGGAGACTTTAATTTGTCAGTAGAAGATAGTTATATAAGGCTTGACTAAATAAACCCTTTTAAATTTTAAATCACCTTTAACAGTCAATATGAATGTTAAATCATAACATATTTCTATCTCATTAGATCATTCTTTTACCTCTTAAGCAAGTAATGAGCAAGTTTTTTATTAACTTGCATTCCACCTTCAGCAGCAAGGATTTCATCCAAAGCTGAAATAGCATTGCAAACTACCTAAAGATACAAACAAACATAAAAAAAATCTTACCCCATCAAAGCTGACCTGCTGGACAAATTTTGCTCAGAGGCTTTTAACTCACATACAGAACAGGTGTATCAAAATTACATGTACAATGATCAAAATTTATGAAGATACTCATGATTGTTAATTTTGAAGTAGATGGTATATTTCAGATGGAATTGCAACACATCAAAACTGTTGGCTACCTGACTTAAATAATTATTATTGAGTATTAACTGTATGCATGATGTACGTACCTGAGGGTCTGAGTCAGTCAATAGTTGGCAAAGTTTGTCTATGATTCCATTATCTGTTTTGATGAAATACATCAACAAATACTAATTGAAATTAAACACACCACTGATTAACCAATGAATGGTCTTTGTCATTATTCTCCCCATTATTATTAATGGAGAGTTACTAATAAAGTACTAATAAGATATCCATTAAAAGAAGGGAATAATTAATACACTTGGTCAACAGATTTCTCTTACATACCTTCAACAAAGTCAGGAATAAGATGGTATAATTTCACACATCCCATGACTGCACATCGGCGAACATAAGAACTTTTATCTCCTAGACCAGTTAGAAGAGGCTCTACAATGTACTCCACAAGATCAGGCAACCTATAAGAAACAGCAGCAATAAATAAATCAACACAAAAGATTAAAGACTGGGAATTAGTCAGAGAGGTGATAGGTTTTGCCACAATGGACCTTGTTCAGTCACCTGGGACTCTGTGGTCCTTGCATTAATCTATATTTATCATCCAAGCCCAATAACCAGGAGCAGATTTGAAAGGAATTAATCATACACTCTGACTAGAGGTTCTGCAGAATCCAAGATCACAGACACCTGGCTCTAATGTTTAGAGGGGTAAAAAATTTCATGAAATTGTATCATGACACTGAGTACTCAGTACTTCTACAATCAATTGGTTATTAACCTTAATGAACACATGCTTCTCAGAGCAAGACCTCTGACCATAGCACTGCTGTCTTGAGAATCTTTCCGCAAGGTGTTCATGGTCAACAAAGCTAGTTCAGGGTTAGATTGTGCATAACTACATATGTACAGATACACCAGCTTCTTCTGGACAAGATCATGTGTAGCTCCAGCCTGAGGAAACCAAAACAAAACAATTTATTCAGATATCAAAATAGAATTTTAGTGTACCCCTTCAACTCACTACATCTTTTTTTAAAGAGGAACTGATAAATAATTCTACCCTCTAGCTGTTGATATATACACCTCTTTGTCAAGTCTTGAAGAGGATTGGTTATTATATCAAGGCAATACTCTCTAGGTAGACTGCAAGCTGTCAATTTTTCTCTTGAGGAAAAGAGAGAAACCTGATCCCTAAAGGGAACAAAAACTTTAGGCAAGAACAGATTGAAACATCAGGCAGGTTATTCCTCGGGGGGTGGAGCATGTGAGAGGTTTACTCAACCCAGGCCCCTCTGCCATACTATACCATGTGTGGCCTCTTCTTTCATGTTTGTAAGAGCAAAATCATAAAAAATAGTGAAAAGGAAAAAAAGAGACAGAAAAAAGAAAAATAATCCCACTGCTGTTCGTGTACTGCATAGCAGGTATTTTTTTTGGTTTGCAAAAAAGATAAGTGAAGTAAGCCTCTGTGGCAGAGGTATGGGTATTTTCTGAGAAAAACCATTCAAAGTCAAAGCCAGTGAAAAGAAAAACAAAAAGGAAATTCTAGGTTTTCAAGATCCACTCTACCTCAGACAGGGTCTCTGTGTTTTAAAAAATGAAACAATAGTATTGTTGTTACCTTAATCATATCCATGAAGAGAGAGGATAAATCCATTCCCAGAGTCATGCATGATATCACCTTCTGAATCACTTTCTTATACCGTGCAGCATCTTTTTGCACTTCTGGTGACTGTAAACTTTTCTTTAATTCGCTTACTTCACCTTTCTTGTTTGACTCGCTGAAAAATGTCGCTGAGCTTGACGCCATGATCACCTCAAGCTTTTATTGCAAGTATTAGTGAGTGTTTTCAAAAGATACAAGAGGCCTTCTCAACCTTCTCATCATGTGAAGAAGGTTTTAGTTGCACTTTCAGTCTTTCTCTTGTTCTCTCACTTCACCACCCTGGCAGAAAAGAAGGCTGAAGAAACACCCATACTTTCCACAGAAATTTGGCTTCTTCGTTTTTCTAACCAAATACAGTACATGTGTCTTACATGAAGTAAAAATAAAGTCGTGTTTCGGTTTCCAGTCTCTGTTGTCTAATTGAGAAGGCCTGGTAATTTACTTCATTTTACCTCTATTTCGAATAGCTACTTTGTTTATGTTATGGCTGGATCCTTTCAAATGGAAATGTATCAGAGCTAAAAATATTAACTATATATCCTTCTTTATAAGAGAAAGTGATTTTCGATATTGTCACTACAATGGCTTCTGCAAGAGAAGGCAGAGGCACAACTCATGTTGGTTTTGTGTGTCAGAGATGCTATCAACCCTTGAAGTTGGATCATTCCTTGTTATCTTTGGACGAGGAAACGATCGCAGAGCTTACAGGTTAGATACAATAATCGCTGAACTAATAACAGGGGATCATAATAGAGATCATTGAATCGTAAAATAGAAAGAAAAAGTCGAGATTTGAGAACATGATCTTTAAATTGATTTCGTTCATTATCCTTGAGATATCACTCACAACTAAAATTTAACTGTTAAGGTACAAATCCTTGAAAAACAATCGAGCCAACAAATTTCTTGAAGACTGACTATCTGTCAGTGCACTTTGTGCGTGGGCAAACTCGAAGTGTTTATTTCCTTGTGGCAATCAACTTCTATCCATGCGTATAAACGTATTTATCACTCCAGCTGTGCTCAAGCTTATTGTAATGGTGCTAATCTTAACTGTCACCTCTGGGGATTTACACTGTTGTCTAAACATGCAATATAAAAAAAATCATTGCCTTCACATTTGACAGCTTTAGTGGCCAAATCTATAATATTTCTCTCGTAAGTCTCTTGTTTACATGGTGGGTAATTATAATCTCCCAGTCTCCCACACAGTTTGCCAAATCTCCTCAGTACAAGGAAATTGATTTTTTTAATTTGGTCTTTGTAATGAGGGAAGTGTAGGTAATGTTTTCATTAAAATATCCACCCATGGGAGAGACTGAGATGAAGTAGTCCATTTACAAATTTAAGAAGGATTTCAGATGAAAGTTTTCCAGAGGTTGGCATCTCTAGGTAGTGACTGACTTTTTTGTAATTAAATATTAGACTCAGTCTAGCATCAAAAGGAAATAAAAATGTTTCATCCTGAAATTTCTATTTCCAGCTCCATTTCCTGAATTTGCAGCCCAGACTGATGGTGGAGAAGACACAAATGGGAAGTATGACCCTTCTTCATGTCAGGTACAATTGTCCCTTATGAATTTACATTTCTCAGAGTAAAAAGTACATTAAGACTTAAGTTTTGTGGCATGATCCAGATTAAAGGAATTTCTGGTTATTGTTGTATTAAAATAAGTTTTTGAAATAGTTATAGCTGCCTACAAGCAGTTGTATAAGAGTGATTGCTGCAATCACTCCTTATAATTGCTTGTAGGTTGTCTCAGTAGAGAAATGTTATGAACCCAGGCAACAAAATGATTTTGTGAAGTTTTGTCAAGATAATTGGCTGTTTGCCTTGTTTGAAAATCATTTACAATAAATTTGGTATTTTTTGACTAGACTGCTGTCAATACAGAGGGAGATGATACAGTCATAAGGAGAATCATTTCTCCTGCAAGGTAAATTTCCTTTTTACTTAGATTTGGTTATCCTTGGAAATTGTGTAATTCTTATGACTTTTTAACATGACCCCTCTGACTTTTTAGACTTCAGTCACTGGAGGGTGGTTTTACTCTGATCGGAGACTCACAGCCAATTAACACAGAAAACCTCAGTCACAGGCTTAAGGTACAGTAAGTCAGAAGTTAATAACAGTGGTATGAAGGAGGATGTTTTGTTTTGTAACTTTTTATGTAATTTTTTTTCTTTACCGGTAATATGACTTTCTCAAATGTGTATTATGATGTGGGCATGCAGTAGTCATATAATATGTGTGACCTTACTGCATCATTATCTTTTGGTATTCATTTTCTGGAAATTAAATTGGTGTCAGCAGATTGTCATCTGTCAAAAATGCTGAGTGAATAAATGGTGAGTAAGCTCCAGCATACAGTGCTCCATCTGTTCCATCTGCAGTAACAAATTGCTCTTAAATTAACCAAGAGAAACAACAATAAATGAAGGGGTTAAGTTTATAAAGAAATTGTGGTACTGGTATTATCAACTATTATGAGTTTCAAAGCTTATATGTCATCAGAGCAAAAGGCTGATTTGTGTAGCTCTTATGGCTTTTGCTCTGAGGAAAGGCTAATGCTAAAAAACATTAGCTTTGAAACTCTTTACAGTGGCCAATTTATGTTGTCAACTCAGTTGATAGAACCAAATTACCTTGTTAAGAGAAACACCAGTCCAGCAAGGGACACACTTCTGACAGACTTAAATCAAATCACCACAACTAAATGTCAGCTCCTGTTTGACCATATACTATAATGATACAAACAAATGTAGAAAGTTTCATAGACATGACTGTGTTTGTTTTCATTTGTGAAGGTCACTAGTCAGTTGTTTGATATAATGTCTGGACAGTCAACCATTGATCACCCTTTGTGTGAAGAGTGTACAGACACCTTATTAGACCAACTAGACCAGCAGCTTAAGATCACAGATGATGAACTCAAAGATTACAAAGTTTTTTTTGAGAAGCTCAATGACAAACCATCACTAGATGGTGAGGCCTTGTCAAAGGAACTTGAAAAGCTTAGAAAGGAAGAGCAAGAACTGATAAAGAAATTAGAGGAAATTGAAATGGAAAGAAGCAAAGTGGCTGAAAAACTTGAAGCAGAGAAAGAGAGATCTAAGCAGTTGGAGATTGAGGAAAACAAGTATTGGATGGAATACAGTGAGTATCAAAAGGAGCTCTTGGAATATGAAGATGAGCAGCAGAGGTAAGTTCATAGAATTTAGAAGCTTTTTTATATTCTACAATGCTTAGTAGGGTTAAGGTGGTATTGTCTTTTTCAAGTTGGGATTTGGCAGTGTGACTGGCTTCTTGGAAACTATTGGGGAAACCTCAAACAGTGCAGAGGGAGGGGTGGGAGGGGGTTGTCCTTTCATAGACTAGTGTCCCATTCCAGCAAGAATTAGCTGTACTCTGTCATTTCATGTCATTGAATCAGGACTCAGTCCTGATAGAATTGGTTATCTGACTTTACATGTACTTACCTTATTTTATTTGGTTTCCAAAACAAATGTACAATCAAGATTACACATGAACTGACAACTTCAGCTGGATGTTATTTGTGATCGACATGTATGTACAGCCTAACAAGTGTTATAAGTTACTTCTATTTTCTTTATGCCAAATCACTGAGAATCTGGTTAGAAATAAGTTTTAAAGCAGTTATACACACCTAACATTGTGTCTACTAGTAGATCTTGCCTGAAATTAATGGGAAATATTATTTATTGTTTTTATTATTGTTTATCTATTTGTTTCTGTAAGGTCTTTTTTCTTCGCAGTGTTGATAATCAGATGAGATATGCTCAGGCACAGTTAGATAAATTAAAGAAGACAAATGTATTCAACAGTACTTTTCACATATGGTGAGTTGACAATTCACTTCATAGTCGTCCTAAAACAAAACTAGAAAAATAAAAACCAAACAAAAACCAAACAGTATGGGCCATAAAGTTTACTTGCCTCCTGTATGGCAAACCAGTTGCTAGATGCTTTAATCTCCCTAATCATTCTCAGCAGCATATGTCAGTTTGTGGCCTTTCCTTACATCTAGGCAGTTCATTATAGCAGAGCATTATATCTCTAAGTCTATTGGAAAATATAGTTCTAATTTATATATCAGGACTCGTTATAAACTCCAATTGAAAACAGTATAAAGGTGTTCATAAATCTATAAGTCTTTGCTCTTGGGGGGACAAAGACTCAAGTCTGTCTAAGATTATATCTTGGGATGTGTCTTTCTGGTAGAAGATGTCCAAGGTTGTGACTGGGTGCAGTAACAATGTCATTGAATAGTTTGTCACATGGTTTTAAATGCCTGTTGCTTAGCTTTAAAATTCCACTGAGGTCCAAGCTGTCTGTGTAGTCAATGTTGGGGTAGATGATTGCCAGAACACACTTCTGAACCCGCTACATGGCATCTGATAAGTAGGCTGGTTGTGCAAAATGGAAAACCTGACAGCTGTACTCCAAAACAGGTCTTACGCAGATACTAAATTACCCTGTATTTCATCAACCGCAAAGATTGTTGACACAGTATTATGGAGTGTATTGTAAACTTGGTCCTTTCAATAGTGTCAGGAGCATAGTAAGGTTTAAAAGTTCTCCTAATGTGTATAAATCAATTAAATTTTTGGGTAATAATGCAAGCTCTACCTGATCTCTTTGTAGGCACAAAGGTCACTTTGGAACAATCAATAACTTCAGACTAGGTCGGCTGCCAAGTGTGCCTGTAAGTTTTACAGTAACCCCACAATTGTACTTCTAGTCTTTTTAAATTTTGTAAACATTGCAAGTAATGGTATATGTGTGTCATTTATTGCAGGTTGAGTGGAGTGAAATCAATGCTGCTTGGGGTCAAACTGTCTTATTATTACATTCTCTAGCCAGAAAGATGAACTTAACGTTTGAGAGGTAAGTCGTAAGGAAGAGCGCTCCTAGTGAAACAGTTCGAGAATATTTGGAGCGTAAAACTGAGAAGTGTCTGATAGAAATTCTTGTTTTGTAATAAATCAATTATGAATTCAAAATTCTGACAAAGAAGTCAAAATTAAAGAAACTTTTCATTGTTCTTCACATGCTGTTTCAGACATTTACCTTCATTTTATCGTATCTCTCAAACATTATAGATATCGTTTGGTTCCTTACGGAAATAATTCCTATCTAGAATCACTGACAGACAAATCAAAGGATCTTCCATTGTAAGTCATACTTATTTCTCTGTTATGACCATATTTTACCATTTTTTACACCATATCTTATTGAAAATAATATTTAAAATTTAATGATTTAATTAATTTTTTTAACTGGAACTCAACTTAGCAACTCATTTGCTTTTGGTTATGAATTAGAGTAGACTTAACTTATCCTTTTTCACCAGCATATAAAGTTCGAACAGATAAGTACATCTTTAATGTTTACCAAATTTCCTTTCAACAGATATGGATCTGGAGGATTTAGATTCTTCTGGGACACAAAGTAAGTGACACATGAATGTAAAGTTTCTCTTCTTGATCTGCTTCGTGACAAACTACCTTACAGCTTTAAGAACGAAATTCACGAAATCAAATGTCAAATAAGGAAGAACCTTATATACCTGGTTTAATCTCTTTTAATATAGGAATACCCTTAGATCGTGAATTGTTTTCAATAAATAATGGAATGAGATGTTTGCAACTTCTAACAGCCGCCTCCGTAAATCATATCTGCATATTTTTGAATCGTGAAAGTCATTTAAGTTAGCTAGAGTTTGAAGTAATCCGACTCCGTCCAGATAAAGCTTTCAAAGATATTTATCCACTGAAATGATTGTTACACAGTTCATAAATTGTAGACGTACCTGAAATCGTGTTTCATGACGCTTTTGACGTTTTCATTACTTGTACAACTCAGTCATCAGATTTAGACTTAATCAATCGCTCTGACGAAGGGCTAACGCTCGAAACGTCAGCTGTTTTACTCTTTACGGTGGCCAATTTACGTTTTCAACTCAGTTGTTAACACTAAATTACCAGATTTAGACTTACTTTGCTTGTATTCTTTCGCTGTGGAGCTCTTAAGATGAAGTATTTCATGCTTCAACTTTGGTTTCCAACATTAGAAACCAATTCAGTAGACTTCAACTCTGAAATATTTGGTAAATAACAGCTTAGCTCAAGTGGAGAACATTTTCTTGTCGTAAGAATATTTAAAATGCTCGTGTTTGTCGTATAAGACCAAAGTTTTCCCGCCATATGAATGCGCGCTTACCAGCCTTTTGTTCGCTGATTGGTTGTTTGGAAATGAGAACGGACGGTGATTGGCCGGTCGTAACAATGTAGACTTGGGAGTCCTTTCAAAAATATTTCCAGACTCAGTTGTGATTGGTGAAGTTTTGAAGAACATTGTTTATATTTTGCAAGCATCGATCTCAATACGAATAGTTAACCTACAGTGATAAAAATGGAGCGAGTTTCGAGGAGTGAAAAGGGATCATGAAATTGCCATTTTCCCTCCCCACTCGCAAACTTTTGAAATTTCTCAACAGAATTATCCAATTGTGGTCTTTCACTAAAGTGCTCTGTTTACTAGAATTTTTTTAACTCTGGTGTATTTTATACAGGTTTGATCAAGCAATGGTTGGATTTTTAGACTGTTTACAACAGGTACATGAATGTAATATTACAAATTTGAAATAACATTTTTCTCTAGGTACAGTAATCCAGCGATCAAACTCAGACCCTAACAAAAAAATGTTTCGAAAACGTAACTTAATCTTTTGTTTAACTGTCGGAGAAATGATGTGCAGCGTTTCTTTCACTTAGAGAAACGTAATATCTCTAGGATTTTTTTAATTAGAAAATCTCACAAACGGTCGTTATTGGGCGCCATTTTTACAAGCAATATCTTAACACGCTTAGTCGAAAACTGCTGTTATTTGCGTCCTTAGTTTAAAGAAGCTGTTGAAAAAGTGGACAAGAGGTTTTGCCTTCCATACAGGTGAGAGAGTGTACCAATAAAACAATTTTGAGAGCGTTTTTTGTCTCTCCTGATCTATATTTTGGTAAAAGATTTGATGTTTTTGGAAAGTCCTGAGTAATTTTTGCTCGTATGTGCAAGTATAATTTATGGAAGGCTCTGTCAGCGGTTTGATGAATTAGTAGATCGCTTTTATGTAAATTTTGAGGCTCAAACTTAGAGTCGGATTCAATTATATTCGGATTTTGCGAGCGCAAATATCAGGTGTCACGCATTGTTTGACGCTCACGATTGCGTGACTAATTGGTATTATGCTTTCATGACGTCAAGCATACGTCACTAAATATTTGTCTCCAACCGAACTAATTGGTAACGAACATTCGTGACGTAACTTTTGAGTCACTAATTTCTCATTGAATTAACCTAATGACCAACGGTTAACTAGTTAATTGGTCGTTATGTTTATGACGTGTACTCCCTGGTTAAGTCATTTGCTGCAAGTCCGCGAGCCGTTCAGACGTACTTTTTGCGCTCCGTGAAAAAATTCGCTAGGACAGTTCAAAGATGGCCAAAGCTAAAACTCGACGAGTTGTTAAGAAATCAGCCTTAGCCAAGAAGAAGAAGGCGGTCAAGAGGCCCCCTCTTACAAGCGAAAAGGTGTTGGCTGCCATCGCCGCCTTGAAAGACCGCAATGGTTCAAGTGCGAAAGCTATCATGGCCTACCTCCTCACGCAACGTGGTTCAAAGAGAGTTACACCTTTTCAAGTACGAATTGCGTTGGCGCGCGCTGTCAAAGAAAAATCACTGGTGAAGAATGGAGCTTTGTTTAAAGTTGCTCTTACTTCCAGCAAGTCACGGTCGCGTTCCAAATCTCGTTCGAAGTCCCGCTCTAGATCTCGTTCTCGCTCAAGGTCAACCTCGAAGACTAGATCCCGATCTCGTTCTCGATCAAAGTCGAAGAGTCCGAGCAGAAAATCAGTGAAGAAAGTCACCAAGAAGGCTAAGAAGGCGAAAAAGGCTAAGAAAGTGATCCGAAAGCGCAAGGCCCTGGCCAAAAGGCGCGTCGTAAAGAGGAAATACTACAAAGGAACCAAAAAGACGACCAAGGTTCGCAGGAGGCGACGATCCGCCCGCAAGTGAACTTACTGATAGTATAACAAAACTGCGATGTCTTTTCGTCTCCCTTCTAAGAACACTCAAAGACTTTGTCTCTACAATCTCTCATGAGAGCAAACGCCTAAACGCTGAAGAACTGTTAGTAAGCGAAGTTGACAGGATCCTCGGTTTTATCATCATAATTTTTTTTTGTTTTAAAAGGATTGTACACACAAGAAAACTTTGATTAAACAGTGAAGGCGAAGACTTGTTGGTGTGTGATTTTCTATAAATATGGGGGAAGAAAAAGCGATGAGTTTACAAGTAGAAAAGTCGGCAACTAACTTTTCCCTAACGCAGAAGCGACAACAATCAGTTAATTTCCAAAATTTTTAATTAGGAGGCACTTATGTTATTATGCCTGGGTGGTGTACTTATAGGTCGGCGCGCGCGTGGCCTTTTTTTGCGCGCACCTTGATTTTGTGCGCGTTTGGAGCTATCTGCCAAAACTTTGCCATAGACAGAATTTTTAAGAATTTTTTGTCGCGTCTTTGTTGTAAATTAAAAGCGCAAGGTTGCGCGCGCGATACTTAAGCGGCATTCAACGCGTAACAAATGCTGCCTGAGGCGTCTTCATTGACGGACTTTTTCCTAACTTTTCGTGAAAAATTTTTACTGAATCAAACGATTTGGATCGATTTCTTTTTCCAAGAAGCTTAATTTTAGTGTGTTTCAAGCGACAGTTTTACTTTTTAAGTTTCTGGTAAATCAGTGTCAATACTGCCCGTGCGATTAACAAGCGCGTGGCTTGCAATGTTGTCACAGTCTCTTTTACGACTGGCCGAAGATCGACGGCGAGGCTTTGGAGAGATGTAAAAAATTAATCAATCAATCAATCAATCAATCAATCAATCAATCAATCAAATCTGTAGTGAAAATGAATAAGTTCAAAGCCAGCACATTTACGTGCTTTTACAAAGTCATACTATTTTACTTATCTCATCAGTTTATCTTGTTTTCCTATAGCAAAATATAATCCAGTATTTTTCGTTTCAGGATGGAAAAAGGCAAAATCCACGATTCAAGTGGCAACGGCGGAGCTTTTTCCATAAAGTAAGTTGGCGGAATTTTTTCGAGGAAGGGCAAGGGAAACAATGGAAAAATTAAACCAATTTTGCTGTCTGAATGACTCAAAACTATTGGTTCAGAGCGGGTTTCGATTAAGTGTTAAGCAAAAACGGAAGTAATTACAGCAACCAATCAAAGAAGAGAATACCATCACAAGGCGGCAATGAGAACTCAAACTGCCTAAAGCGCGGTAAAAGGCGAGTGACGAAGATGCGTTTGGTTTTTTTGCATCTGATTGGTTGAGAGGATGGCGTGAGTTTTGTGGCTTACTACACGGCGAAGTAAAGCAAAACCAACGCTTTTCCAGATTACTTTCGACAATTAAAGTAAAATTTCTCAAAATCACTACCTGTCTGTATATGCGTAGCACTTCTCCACCGCAGAAGTTAACTAAGACAAGTGTCATTACGCCTCTGGTTTTTTTCTTTGTCTCGTCAGAATTCAGTTCAACTCCGAGGAGCAGTGGACCAAGGCGCTAAAATTCGTGCTGACTAACTTGAAATGGGGACTGGCGTGGGTCTCGTCCCAGTTTACTGAAAAGTGACTCAGACTAGCGGTCAGTCTGGATAATGCACTTCTGCAAGAAGTTTATAATGTACGAACACGGAATCAGTTGACTTTGAATAATTGCTCTTGTAGTCTGAAGTTTGCTTTTGAAGAAAGTAATAGAAACAAGACTCTTTAAAGAAAGAAACTTCAGATTCTCAAGAGCACAGTGTAGATATTTTTGAAAGCATTTCACAAGGCTTGAGCGAACGATTCAAACTCTTGTAGTCATTATCTTAAAACATGATTTCTTCTTTCTTGTGACCACGATTCCTGTTACTTCGACTTTCAGTTTTGAGAATTCCACGCCTTCTTACTTATTTCACAAAGTATTGCTGTTGAAACCAAAAATTACATGTTGATTAACTAATGTTTGAAAAAGAGGAAAAAACACATTCACATAGACAACAAAAATCTTCCTCTTTTAATCCTTATGCGGAAAAAACTAAAAGGAGAAGTAAAAAATAAACGAGACAAACAAAATAAAAAGAAGGTATGTTTGTCGTATGTTATCTATGTAGCGGTTTCTTTTATCGACAAAAAAGGGAGTTTCTATAAAAAAGAATAAAAAACTATTGTTTTACATCTTGTTGTACGTGAATGAATTTGAAGTAACGCACGTGCTTACATTTTCGTATCTTCTCTTTTTCGAGTGATATAAGATTGGCAGGATGGCTGGCGATAAATCTTATCGTTATAATCTTTACAATCTTTGTTCATTTGCGTATACCAACTTGTGCAAATTATATCGAGTAATGAGGCACAATGTGAACCCTATACTTTGACTGCAATCACGATTGATTTGTTTCCAAATTAAAATCTTGGACGATCATAAAACTGATCCAGATAAAGGCGTGTTTTGATAGAATGACTGGAAAAGAAAAAAGTTGTAGATGATTATAAGGAAAAACTACTACTTTGATTGGTTGAGACCCAGGCTTCTGGTGAGGAAATTCGTCATGAGGCGATAAAGATGGCGCCGCGTATGAAATCCAACTATCCCGTGATCCTTATCGGTGTAATACTGCGGAAAGAAGACATGAAACGAAGTCATGGCGATTCACTGCAGAACACAACACGGAAAGAGGGAGAGCATTTCGCCCTAGGGTCGGTATTGTTTTGCAACATACTAACACTGACGTTGCATTTTTTTCTTCTAAGAGTGTAAAATATGGGGGGAGTGGGCGAGAGCGAGAGCGAGAGGCTAACTGAGGTGAACAAGCACCTCATCCAGGGTGGGGCTGAAACCTGATCAATGCTGCTTCTTAGCTACCGAACGTTAGAGAGGCAGATAAAGTCATTTACGAAATCGTCAGTTCCACAAAACCACAAGATCTGCTTCTTCTGATATGTACACTTCTGTAGTGCCTCTAGTCTCGATCCCTTGTCACAGAAATCGGTGCATCCGCATTCCTGTGTCGAGAAGATCGTGGGCGCAACGAAATGCTCGCGGCTGGGGACGACGACTTAGCAGGGGTACCACGGAGGGAACCGAAAGTGTGCCGCGCACTTTCTGTCTCCTCCGGCGCCCACAGAGTTAAGCACAGGTCTCACCTGAACTCTGAACTTGACCTCTGCTTCAGTAAGTGCTCTTACCATCTGTGCTGTGTGCTGGTAATGGACATTGTCTATATATGAAAACAAAAAAAATACAAACAACCAAAAAATAAGTGAGAAACAGAAAAATTCACAATTCACTTATTACTTACGTATCCATCTACAAAACACGGTGAGCCACACCAAAAAAAATGAAATTTAAGATGCTATGGTGTACAAGCTCTTAAACAGGTCATTGCGATTGACAAAGATGTTGTCCTTCAACACTCGTAACTAGTTGTATCTAATGGAAGGCTGACTTCAGTTCATTGGCCCTTACGGATTTTTAACTGAATTGCACAAATCAAAAGCATTATAGTTATCACATCCTTACCATCCGCAGCACCGTGGATTATGAGGTAGTCTACATTGGAAAATTGAGCAGCCCTGTTGAGTAGCGATGTGTTCTAAGAAATATCAAGATTATAAATCGACGATTAGCTCTTGTTTTCTGCAAACATATGTTACTACTTTTAAACTATTCATAGCTTCCCTCTCTGCCTCTAGAAGACGATATAACAGCATAAATTTGCGCTTTGGTGAAGTTAAATCATACCTAATACGCAAATCATTTCTCAATTTGGTTTTCTCTGGAGAGTACTTTTAAATTCAACCTAGAGAGAAATGATCAAAGACTGTCATAAAACTTACTCTGTAGCCGGCTTCGTTATCCTTTGGGACACCCATGTAGCGCTCGGTGTAAGCTGAATCTATAAAATACACCACACCAAAGGTTTGCAGGAAAGTAACATTTAGTTTCCTTCTGTGACGTAGTTTCGGTCACGCAAACGACGTTTCCTTACCATAGTATCTCCAGTCCGTGACAGGTGCCACAGCAATCCCACACTTAAATACACCGGAATTCTTGCTAAGGACGTAACTTGTCAAAAAGCCGCCAAAGGACTAAGGAAAAAGCAACTAGAAGATTAATCTGTAAAGGCTATCGGAGAGAACGACCTCAAACGTTTTCTTTGTTAATACGTAAAGGTTAATCGATCGTTGTACAAGAAATAGCTCGTAAATACCAACCCAGCCCCAGACAGACAGTTTTTTTGGATCGACGTACTTCTTCTCCTGCATGTACCTGTGTAAGGAAACAAAGTATAAGTTGGTTTTGTTTGTCAGCAACAAGATAGAAGTTGGCTTTGTTCAGCGTCTTACCGTCCAGCCGTGATGACATCTTGCGCTTCATATTCTCCCAGTAACTTGTAAACAGCTTGTTTGAAACTAGAACAGAGCAAACTTTTTTTTAGTAAATTGCTTACCGGCTGATCATGACGACAGTAGTAAATTGTGAATGAAGATGAAGAAGGGAAGTTAATGAAAAGTTGTCACTGATGTTGATAGAGTTGATGAGGGAGACGGGAAGTAAAGGATGTGTGGGAGAAGGAAAAAGAGAAGGAAAAGAATGATCTTTACCTGATTCTGACGATGAGGTTGACGACGATGATGGAAATGTTAATGAAGAAAACGAGGAGGAAAATGAAGAGGAAGATGAATGACGAGGACAGCAATCAAGATGACGAGCTAGAGTTGTAATGATGAAGACCCCGAGGACGGCAACGACGGTGACATCGAGGAAGATGAAGAGGAGAAGAATGAAGAATCAGACACACAAAAAAGAAGAGCACATGAAGAATACGAGGATGATGAAGTCAGGTGATAATGATAATGATATCAGTATTTCACTAACTTTCACTTACCTTTCGCCTCTATTCCCAGTCCCTCGCCCGTCCACCATTACCACAATAATATCAAAGTTACTGACCAAGTAGGCAATCCAGCCAACTTGTCTTAAAAACAGCTCAGTAACCTGAAACACGAAAAATAAATTCGTACCAATAAATCAAGACTGTAATAGCGCAGAAACCTAACGCTACGCTTGGGAAGACTTCAGACTGCGCGGTCTGGGTTCAAGACCTCGCTCAGGCTACAGAGTGGTGTTATTAGATAAGACATTTCGTTTCTCGTTTCCACAGGCACGATTTATCCACAACTTCCCAGAAAAAAATGATTTCAAATAGTTGCTTGAAACAAACCCTTTGTGATCCAGGACCTCCATACCTAACAGAGACAAAAATATAAATATTTGAGAGCTATTTACAAAACAGATTGAACTGAATTAGGTTAAAGCCCGCGAGAATTTCCACGCCTCATAAATAAGTGATGGAGTGATCCAAAGTTTAAAGAAAAAATTTACTTACACCTCAAAATGAACGGCATATTTCTTATTTTCGTCAAAGTTTGGAGGGAGAAATTCAGTGGCTAATAAATCTGAAAAATAAAAATAGGCAAAGCAATGAAAATCATTATCAAAACACCCCTACACAAATAATGGCTGAAATATCAAATTAAACAGAAAAATTTCACCTGCACCTGAGAATCTATGCGAATGTGTACGACAAAATTTTTTTGGTCAGTCCTGTTCGACAGAAGTGCGTTCGTTTGACGAATCAATGTTAGTATCTAAGCAGCTGCGCACCTACCCCTCCCCTAACCCAACAACAGATGACAATTTAGGGTTGAGTTACGGGAGGGGTAGGTATGCAATTACTCAGATACAGAATCTTACCGTATTTTCCAGCGGGAATCTTAAAGTTTCTTCTTTTTGGTGTCGCAAGTTCAGACATTTTTTTTTCTAACGCCCTGTTCATCTCTAGATCTTTGTACCAAGTAGCTGAAAGAAAACACATTTTATCAGACCAAATACAGAAGAAACGTTGCACATACTTAGGTAATGAAGGCAGTTCCTTAAGAAATCTTTCAATAGCTTAATTGATGAACAAGAACTAAAGAATTTACTCACAGGAGTTGGTTTTGTGTAAAGTGACCCTTGGAACATTCGGTCCTGGGAATAAAAGAAAAGAAAAACGTACCTACATTATCATAAACCAGAATATTTCAGACAGTCTGTCAGACTCTGTCTTAAGTAAATCACCGAATTATTCTTGATTGTACCATTCATGGAGCAGATTTCTTTTCCAACATTTCTAAGTGAAAGTCAGCCATTTGTTGAGAGCCTACCGTAACAGGTTAGAATGTACCAGCTGGCTTCGAGACTAAAGCTCGCTGAAAAATATTTGCAGTCCCCATCTAAGAAAAGAAAAAACACATAGCCAGATTTAAGAGAAAGGGAAAATTGTTTGAGCTTGTCTTCAAGGGATTTTGACGATTTTGTAGCTCAAGCTTACACTTACTGCATACTGGATTTGTGACTAGGCATGTGATACCGTGATACCAAGACTGAGTTTTCTTAGAGCACCCTTAGGTTAGCAAACAAATGCATTGATAGGTCAGCAAAGTAATGATTGTTTAAGGTAAAATCTACATTTCGTTTCTTTCCCATGAATTAAAAAAAACCCTTATATACCCTACTAAGCATTGAATTGGATGAGTTACTTACTTTCGGCCCAAGGCAAAGAGCATGACAGACATTTCTTCTCTTTCGTTTTTACATTCACGCTGTTAAGTGACGGATAAAAAAAAACAAACGTTAGTCATTCTCTTTCTTGTCGCAATTCAGGCCGATTTCCGGTGATATTTGATAAACTGATGATACGACCTTAACTGAATACAACAAGTTCAGTGTTTACGCTTAGATTGACGCAAAAGCTGCGCAGAAACTTGGCTACGATGACTACGATGAGACCTGGGGCGAGCTCTGCCACGTAATGGGTTCAAAGACGTTTATATGCTGACTTCTAGGGTCGATTTGCTGGTCGAGAGCGTTTTGTTGAGTGACGGAGAAAGACAGATGAACAATTTCAGTTCAGCCGTTAAATCAGTATTGGTTGTTTGTTCAATTACACGAGAGTTGAAAAAGTGCATAGGACTTGTAAAAATATTGAAAAATTATTGACTTCTACCTGTAAATATGTCTGTCTCTAGGCGATGTTTCTGCACTCTGAAAATACCTGTGGATTAAAATAAGAACCATCAAGAAAAAAAATAAGTATCATCAAATCCCGCGCTAAAAAATCGGGGTTGAGATGCCAAGTTCGATCAATAAACCCCCATAATTAAAATTTCGTTGATGACAAATCTACTCTCAGTGCGCGGGGTGGGGTGGGAGGGGAAGGAAATGGGATGCACCTTACGACCAAGAATAATAATTAATTTTTCCTCTCTATCGCCAAATAACCTAAGTTGGCACTTCACCAGCCGTGCATGATGGACCGAATATGTTATAAAAATAAACGAAGAGGCAGTTCTTAATATCTTTAAGCACTCAGTGAAACAAAGTAAACGATGTAGTAGGTAATGAAACGAGGAAATTAGGAAATAAAATGAGATAAACAAGGAGAGAGATCATGAAACAAAAGAAATGAGTAGAAGAATTCAAGAATGACTTACACTGTTTCGGTGTCTTTCTTAAACGCCAAAATTTTGACAACTTCCCATGTTCCAAAGGTGAGAAAGTTGATGTTGTCTTTCCCTGAAGGCTGTTAATGTAATGGAAAAAAAACCAAACAAACAAACTATATGAAAACGCTTGCGTTCTTCCCTTCTGATTTGATCAATATTGATCAATTCAAATCAATAAAGTACTGCGAGTTAGAAGATACAGACCCATATGGAGTATTTACTTTTTCTTTTCAAAAAAAAAAAAACCAATACCAGTGCCAGTAAGACAATCTTGGCTCTCCATGTCGCCTCCGTTGCTTCCCTTCAACCCTTCCCCAAGGAAAACCTTTCACTTAATTCACAACGAATTCTTAGTAAGAAAGACCTTACAGAACTGCACATGCTCAACCCTAAATTTCTCAGCCGTTCACCGAACCTATTTAACCTTTTCACTCCCAGAAGTGATTAATATGTAACTTCTCCCTACAATATCCATACATTATTCAGCAAACAGGTGATGAGAATACTCAAACTCATCAGGTATAGGATATTACCTTGACCGAACACCAAATTCTCGTAACCAATTTACAACGAAATGTGTAGTAACTAGAAGGGAGAAGTAACAATCAGATCTTGGGAATTAAAGGGTTAAGTTCATCAGTACTTACAGTGACCATGACTTTTGCCATATGAATGAAGCTTCCATCGTTTCCTTGTGGTGAAGGTATGAGAGTCACATAATAAGAGCCATCTTTTGAGAACCACGGGTTCGGGGGCTGTAAATAATAGTAGTTATCAGTCACTTCACACATCTTATGTTTTTTTATTGTGGAGCGTAAAGTAATTCCATTCAGAAAATATTCCTTCATACAGAAAATCACAACGACATTGATGGCACTACATGCTAACAGACCTACCAGGTATGTTTTGGTATCCACCCAGCCGTTTGTCACCTGAGTTCTTTGATTCTGAAAGAATAAAATTAAACAAGACAGAAATAACAGCTATAAAATAGCTTGAAAGAAAATTTCCGGGCGCAATGTTAATCACGTGCACAATATATAGGAATTGATTCATTGACCGATAGTTTTTATCTACAGCCTCACAAGTGCAACAAGCAGCAATTGTTTGTGCAGAAATAACGCGGAAAATTTGTCTACATTTAAAGACGTAATATCATCTGAGAATGCGTTGTATGTTGTTACCTCAGTGCAGTTCCCGGATGGAGCGTCACAGATGGATGCAATAGAAGTATCCTGAACTCTGTTCAGCCACCAAACCAACACTTTATTATTTGACGCCCATCCCACGTTGGTGTAGTAATGTTCTCTGATAAAAAAAAGATCACTCAAACATGAGAATATCCCAGAGACAAACATACGACTGTGATGATGACTTCCGTTTAAGTTGTCGAACTTCAGTCAATACTACCGACAATAGTCCTACGCAGATCTCTCCTCTCTTCGCATACGATCAAAGCACACGATCAAATGTTACTCCTGGGATCAAATATTTCTTGGATAAATAGAAAATTAGAATAAATGCAGAAGGGAGCAGAAGGTTAGAGAAGAGAGAAGGGGCTTAAGGAGAATGGGGATGAATGGAGGAAAGAGGGCATCTTTAGGTAGGTACTGACCATTCAGCCGGCGTAAATATACATGTATCTACATTTTTCCACGGTTCAAATTTCAAATCTTATATCTCATAGAAGCACATCCCACATCCAATATCCCACATCTCACATCTCACACCTCACACCACATCTCATATCTCGTATCGCGTATCTCGTATATATTCTCACACCTCACCTCACACCTCACACCTCACACCTCACATCTCATATCTCACATCTCACATCTCACATCTCATATCACATATCTCAAAGCTCATATCTCAAAGCTGAAATCTCATATCTCATATCTCACATCTCATCTCTCACATCATATACCTACAAATCTCACGTAGTTGTTCGTAACAAGCAATGAAGCACTCACACGTTTGTAAAATCAGCTGGTGGATTTAAGTCCATGGTATCAGGTACTTGGCTTTTATTCGATGGCAGCTTGTTCAAGTCCACCATTTTGATTTTTACAACGGGATTTGGTGAGCCAGGTTTGGGGTAAGCTATCTTCTTCACTGTGGTGTACATATCAGAGTATTTACCGTACCACAGGTAAGAAAACCACTTCACTTGAGTATCATTAGACTGTGCGTAAGTCAGGTATCGGCCGTCCGGGGAGAACCACATGGCTACATTTGTGGACGTAACGTCCTCTATGAATGAAAGTTAAGAAGGTGTCTTTAGGAAAGTTCACGAGAACTTGAAGTCAACGTCGACACCGCTCTATGTAATGCTCATTATGGAGAAACTTACACAGACCACTACAAAGTAGACAGGAACGAGTGTTAAACAGTCAAATGTTACTTGCCTTCGTACACCCAATCAGGGACGCCATTGAAGAGCTCGTTCTCTTTTCCGTTGTCAGTTATGGTATGGACGGTGCCTCCAATTTTGTCCAACCAGTAAATATTATTATCTTGTACAAAGCCCTTTCAGTCAGAAAATTGCGAGAAGTATTATAAAATTGAGAGTGTCAGACAATCTTCCGACCCCCCTCTCCTTCTCAGGAGTGCCAATTTCTGATAAAAAGATTGGAGAGAAGGGTGGGGATAGAGGTTCTTACCATTAAAGGGGGTAAATTGGTGTATAAGTGCCGGTTAGGAAAATTAACAGTGTAAAACTCTAATAAACGACGCTAAAATTATTGCGACACCGAATTTACGGGAAACATGAGGTGGTTGAACAGATCAATGCTGGGAGCAGTAGGCTTTCGTGATACATCAATAACTTACAGGAATTATGGGCCTGAAAGAAGTCATCTTAGTTTCCGCTGTTCTTTTAGAAATGGCACGAAATAGGTAAGACAAGTTCGAGCTATACGCACACAAATTAAGTGATTCTGTTGCATTTTGTTACTTTTAAGTTCTCTAAGGGACGGCGTAGAATTCTTTAGAGATTACTTACTATAGAGGTGTCATTGTTTCCCCATATAGCTAACTGAATCTGTTTATTTGGGTCAGGTGGTATAACTCGAAAAGTTGATCTGAAACGAAGATAGACAAAACTGAACTAAGTGGCGTTAACTAAGAATAGGGATCATAGTCAAATTTCTTATTATGTTCTTAAGAAAACATGGTACTTTGGAATTCCAGTTACAAAGCTTTTTCCTAATGTCTCTAAACTGGAATGAAAAGTTAAAACTAAGAGGACATAACGAAAGATGATAGTTTTTGGATCTGTTTTCCATCATAAACAATTGTTAAAAAAAATTTCTCTACAAACCCCTTTTCAAAGTTGTGCACATAGTAATCAGCGAAAAAAGATCTCCGATACAACTGAAAGAAAAACATTAAAATATATTTTACTCTTTCGCCTGAAAGCCAAGTTAAACTAGTTTCTTGAAAGGTGACGGTTGTATTTCTAAAGTAAAATATTAAAAGTTGTCTCAAGCGTGGGGCGAAGAACAGTGATGGTTGCATTTCTAAAGGATAATATTCAAAGTTGTCTCGAGCGTGGGACGAATAAAACTTTGGGAGTCCTGTGTGAACTCGAAGCCCCTTACGGTTAGATGCCCTACTAAGCTACATGGAAATCGTTGGCGAGCTACACCGTACTCCGGGTATCATGGGAGTAAGTCATTTAACCTGCTTTTACGCATGGATAAGGCTCAAAGCTGTACTGTTAACTGAATTGCTGATCGTCTGAAGGCTCTGATCTCAAAAGTCTGTGGTGTGTAGCCCTTCAAATCTCTTGAAAAGACAAAGTTCTACAAGTCGCCCTAAGTTGGTAGCCTGTGTCATCTGGGATCTGCTCGAGCATAAACCCAAATTTAGAACCTCTTGTATAACTCTCTTGTATCTGAGATACGAGAGTTATGCAAACTCGGTGAACGATAATAACAGCCTACGTAAGTGACTTTTTGGCGTAGGGAGAGTTTTCCTTTCTCGAGTTTTTATAAAAAGAGTAAAGCTTGTGCCGCACGCGAAACCGCTGCAAATCACGGACCCATTTAATCATCCGATCGATTGAGGACGAAAAAGAAATACATGATATTTTATGGGTTATACCTTTCTCTTGTTGGAAGCCAAAAGAACCCATTTTCCATTAGACGAAATCCAATAATTAGAAACGTTGAAATTATCCTATCATGAGAAAAAATAAACAACTTAAGTGATTCACATTTGCCCTCTTGCAACATCAAACCAAACTGAAATAGTTAATAGAAGGTAAATTGAGTTCTTCCTCGTAAATAACTGGGTACGTGACAGCTTGACAGAAAGTATAGTCACCTTTTTCGAGACGTTGTGTGACAAGGTATACTTTTCTCCTTGCGTGACATGTTCATCACAGGCCGTTTTGGTAGGGAGGAAACGCCTTAGATATAGACTTTCAACAATTATTGTAACAGGTAAAAATGTTAGAAGGAACGGAAACTAGCTAGTTATGTGTACTTACCAATATTTTTTTAAAATCAGAAAAAGGTACCGTGTCGTTTCTTAAAAGATTAGTCTCAGTCAAATTGCCCCCAGAATATCGGATATACACGTCGTCTGAGGAAACAAATGAATTCATCAGAAGTTTATATTCTAGATGATGTAGAAAGAAGCGAAAGAAACTTTAATGAGCTTTTGAACATAGAGTAAACGCAGGTGTAATTTTTGCATCATGGCACGTTCAGCGAAAAACTTTTCAAAAATTGGGTTGAAAAGTGGCAGAAAAAATAGCCAGAGTAGGAAGGAAATGGGAAGAAGGAAATGAAAGAGAGAGAGATGGGAAGCGTGAAATTTCTTTTTTTAACAATTTATTTAATATTTAAGGAAAAATTTGAAAGGAGGGACATAAAAAAATAAAGCTTTTAGTTGTAAAGACAGTTGTGTATTTGAAGCGAGAAGCAGAAGAAGATATGAACAGATCTGTTCCAAACCAATACCTTATTGAGTTGCGCTATTTCCCACAGTTATTTGGCTCAGGTTTGCACCTCATGTTTCCCTTCTTCCTCCAATTTTCTATTCAGTTTCTAGGTCTCAAGAACCCTTCCAGGGAGGGAGAGATCTGGTGTTTATGCTACCCCACTCCGTACTAAAACAACGAGGTACGTCCCTAAAGACACTAATGTAATATCTCTCCCGACTAAAACTTCTCGCCAACGCCTTTGATCCTCTTTACAATCTTTAACGTGAGTGCCTCCTGAATCGTTTTGTAGCACAATTAACGTGGCTTTTTTGCACTCACCTGTCTTCCATCGGACAGGAAATGTGGAGTAAGAGTAGTAGCTGTTGAAAATGTCGTCAAATCCGAACTTCTTCTTGAGAGTTTCTGATCCTCCGCTGGGTGTCTCAGTGGCTGCCAAAAAATATATATATATATAAGATGCAAAAACTTTCAAAATTTTTATTCTAAACTGGATAACATTGGGACAGTCTTTTTAGCAGTCGTTGTCTGGTTACAACGCAAACTGCGAAACCAAGCAGGCCAGTCCTTACGCCGCACATTGACGCAGAGAGCTCTCTTGAAAACGACTTTTCAATATCTTGTTTAAACTGAAAACTAGATTCCATTTAGCTTAAAAATAATTACTAAACTTCATTCTTCTGGGTCGATTGCTAAGAATTTCCATCGAAATCGAACCATTCTTTTTACACTTGAAATGAAAAGGATCTCAAGGCTTAAGTGTAACTTAACCGTGTGTAAAAGCGTTGTGTGACATTTGGCGTTACATGACCATACTGGCGCAACTGTGTGTGGCCGTGGTAACACTGAGGTAAATAAATGAGATTTTGTTTGCTTAACTATTCTAAGAGAGATTAAAATACATTACGATAGAGGCCATGCCACCAGATCAGATATGAAACAAGATAAGACGCGAAGACGGATTGTTACTCTCAGGTAAATCTAAAGAAATTAACTCCGTTCAGCGCCAGTTGTGCATAACCATCAACAATGTAACCATCTTTTCATAACCCAAATATTTTAGAAACTGTTTGCTCAACCGAACATTTTAAAAATAACACTTAAACTGTCATAGTTTTATGAAGGGATTGAGACGCTCCGAGCAAAATGGACCCGGTTGACAAACAACAAAATTTAGTTTGAAGCAGTGAAACATTTTATACGGATTAGCTAGGGGGTGTTTTGATCGTGTTCACAGTTTGAGAAAACAATCCGAATCTTAGCTCGCCCTCAAAAATACGTCATGTTGCATTTGCTGTGTCTTTAATTCAGATCTATCGAACTACAAAGCAAAGTCACAACAAACCTGCTTCCAAGACTTATAAAATAAAGGGAAACACACACCCACACTCACATAAAATTACAAGGGTGGGGAGGGACCGTTGAGGGTATGCACCTTACAAGATAATTTCTCGTCAATGTTGCTCATTCAGAGACTCTTTACAAGTCTCTGAACTGTGAGAAAATAAAGCTAGTGTGCAATTTCCCCGGGCAGAGGTAACGCTTCGTTAAAGGTAGGTCCATAAGCAGCGTAAGTAAATACCTGGCATTATCTCGACGTACACTTGCGTAACTCACCTTTTGTTCTCGGTTTCCCGGAGAGAGTGATGGCCAGAATCATTGCAACTCCAACGAGCACACTTACAACAATAAGTGGTATACCGAACTTAAAAACTTGCGAGTTGGTACGCATTTTTGTGAAGTAAACTGAAGAACGTTTCGAACGACTGATCGAACAAAGAAGAACAAACTTAATGACAGCAATCGGACGCTTCGAAAGAAAACTGCCCGTCAAATGAAACAAGATACTGCCGTGTGGCGTCTCTGCTGTGGTGTCTAGCAGTTGTCTCGAATCGGGTCACGCAATAACCCTTGTAATCAATTTTCTCACATCTAGAATTAAACTTCGAGTCAATTCTTGGAAAGAAAACAGTGAAATGACAAAAAAAATCGTAAATTTTTTTTAAGCTGAGGTCGTAATATTGTCGATTTTACTTTAGACGAACATTTTCTAAGAAATTGTCGTAGAAGTATGCATGCATACTCAAAGCCACCTGTTCCTTGTTAAAATGATCACTTTCTTACTCTCTGAATTTCCTTCTACTATAAATTTTCAGTCTCACACATGTACTGTACTTCTTGCCTTGCCTTTTTCAATACCATGGCGGACGCAAAATTGCAATGCACGAATTTGCACATTTTCAGCGACAAGACTCCTATCGTAAAAGCGTGACAACCTTCAACTTGGGTGTCCACTGCTATATGAAACGTTATTAAAAAATTAACAAGACAAGTCTCAGCATCGAAAGAAAAGAACTAAGACAGAATATAAAGTGGAAACAACCTTACTATATTTTCAAGGCTTACCTCTGGCTTCTTTACTGTCTTGATTTCTCGTCACTACGATTGCGACGATAACAAACAAAGCTAGGAACGATGACAGGCATACTGCAAGAATAATTTTCCAGCTACGTTTAAACCGCACTTTCAGACAGTTTTCCGAACTTTTATCCGCCGATTCCGCCATGACAGTGAAACAACTTGATACGCAAATGTAGTTTGACCAGCGCCTGTCGCAGATTGCTTCCGGTACCCCACTGACAGAATTGCCAAAAATTTCTGATTTGGTTTATCGATATTGTTTTACGTACAATTATTCAATTTACAGACAATAGTTTTCCCACTGGGAAAATAAAACGGTCCAGAGGTCAAAACAAATCTAAAAGACATCCCGGATTGTAGTGTGATTTTTGAGGTCTGAACAACAACAAGTTCACAAAAGCTCTGAGAAAAGTAAGAGTGTAAAGATTTATCTTCCAGAGTAAGAATGTAAATTTATGAATAGCAGATGATTTAAAACATTTCTCTCCTTTTTAAGTGTTAATGCACACTTTGAAAATATAGACCAAGTATAACTTTACACATTCCAACCTGTCTTAAAGCTCTTCTTTACACCCTAACATCATTATGCAAGTTCTCCATACTGTTCTCTATACATTTCCTATGGTGCTTGAAAGGAGAATTTGCTGAACAATCAAGAGCTTCTTATGTTAACCAATATTCAGGAATGATTCTGTTAAAAGAAATTACCAGCAAATAGTTATTATTCATAGGGGTTAACCCATTGACCCCCAAGAGTGACTAGCAGCTAATTTCTCCTTACAATATCACCCCTGAATCACACATTAAGGTCAGGAGAACAAAGGAAATGATCACTAATCAAAGAAGCTCTTGATTGTTAAACAAATTCTCCTTGTTAGCCCCTTAGGAAATGTATAGAGAACAGTATGGAGAATATGCATACTGATGAAGGGTGCATAGGGTTAAAGGGACGACTGGAACTGAAAACAAAATTAATCCTCAGTTTAGTATACATTTATTACTGAGTCATAACCGAGAATTCCTATTCGTTTATTTGAAAAACTCATTTACAAGAACAGAAGCTGTTAATACAGTACATAATAGTGATGTAAATGTACTTGCCTTGGTCCACCACTGTGTATTTTCAGCAAATTTGTCAGGTACATGCTGTGTTGAAGGTTCCACAGAGTCACTGGTAGAAAGAGACCTATCTTTAAAGGACTTAACAAGTCTGTCTAGCTCCTCAACAGTTCTCTCTTTGCAGTGAAGAACAGAACTGTCGAGTGTAACTATGCTTTGTTGTAATGTCTTCAAATCTTCCTTCATTTCATACCGATCAATTTTCAAGACCTCTAGAACTGAGTCAATTCTTGATACAACACTGTTTATCAGCTCTTCAATATTACCTTGGTTTTGACTCATGGGAGAGTGTGCACTCTTAAAATGCTCAGGATCCAAAGCTGGTTGAACATGGATTCCCAAGTCCTTTAAAGGATCCGAAATTAAATTTAGAGTAAGTAGGTTTAACAAGCCTGCCAACTCTTCAAATTTTTGCTCTAATAATTTACTTTGTGTAGATAAAGATTCCTTTAAATCTTTTGTCTGGCTCCCTATTTGATCTTCCTGTCCTTTTACTAGATCAGCAAGCTCATCAGTCTTTCCTATCAATGTGTTCCCAGTTTCCTTGATGGAGTTCTTGATTTGCTTCAAGCGGATGTAGTTCACCAGAGTTGAGCCTAAGATTCCTGAAAATAAAGGAAAATGTCAACAGGTAAAATTACAACAAATCAGAGTTATTTACCTCTTAGACTCCTAAGATCTGAAAGCTCAGTCTCCTAACTAACTTGCAAATATATACTCACTGGACCTATTAGAGTTGTACAGCCACAACAAAACTAAAATGCTCTACTACTGCAATATTGCTGCATGACAAGTGCATATAAAATTACATGCAATGCACTTGAAAGTGATTCTTCGTATATTCAATCTTGTTGACTTCTGCCACACCCTTAAGACTGGCCCAGGTGCCCTGTTTTATGCCAGATCTTCTTTGTCCAAGCTTTCACTCCCATGATCTGAGTATCAATTCTCACTACTGTCTGCAATAAATTTTTCATAATATTAGATTTGAGAATTTCTTGTTAAATCAAACTATATTCCCTGGTTTACATTTTCATAACATCTTACCATTTTTCAGACTGAAAGCATATCAATCTTTTGAGGAAAAATTCCCTTTTGATAACTATTCACAGTGATAGGGCTTAGGGCCAGCATACAACATACCAAGTGCGGCACCACCAATAGAGCCAATCACAGACCAGTGTTTAGTCCTTTCCACTCTCGCCCTTTCTTTCTCGTGGGAGTCCCTCACAGCTCCTGACAAGATTGCAAACTGGTCTCTTTCCACAGCTTCCAAATCTTCGTATTCACCTTTCAACTTTTTTTCCTCCAGCAGAACCTTGTGTTCTTCTGTCGCTAAAGCTAGATAACGTTCGTCGTCTCGAGGAATCCGGTCTAACTTACAGCGAATGTCCCTTAGCTTTTCTTGCGCTGAATTCAGGTTTGATTTCGCGGACTGCACTTTACCCCGGGTAGACATAAATTCATTTTCTGCCTTTTTCACACCTGTCTGAGCTTCTTGTACATCGGAGATCCCTAAAAGATCATCCAAGGCTTGAAAGAGCCCGCCAACTTTCTCGTAAGAATTTTTCACCGCACGTTCACTCTTGATGGAAACGGCATTAGAAATCTTCGAGAACCACTGATCAGGCAAGTTCCGGTTGTTGAGAATATTTGTCCCGTGAACGAATCGAAATTGTACAATTTGCTTTGTCTTAGCGTTGATTTGAAAGCAGGGTGTGGAACATCGACTACTTGTATGGAACAATAGTCTAGAGGATAACATTCTAACCGTCACAGAATTTGGAATTTTTTCAAGATTCATATGTGCAATCGGTCCGCCATGCTTCTTCACCCTTTTCGAGAAAAGATTGGGGCGAGGAAAAAAAAGCTTTAATCTGACAATGCTGAGGGAGGAAGGGTAGGGAATATTTTTCAAACAGTTTTCTTCGTAATAGATAAATATCTAGGATGTATAAAAATAAATTATTTAAAAGTCAATGGTTCAAAAATTAGTTTTCTGACTGACTGAGAATACCAACAATTTTTTTTCTGAACCAATTTTAAAATTTAAAAAAAGCTCGCCCTACCCCATCTTCGCTAAGAAAATGATTTGGTAGCATGACCCCTAGTTACCAGTTACCCTCGGTATTCAGATGAAAACATGGCGACACCAAATGTGGGTCGCTTGCAGTGTTTGTATCCTCATGTTTTGAATTATCGCCAATACCACGGACTTCAGCAAGGGACATTTGTTTATTTAAGATTCACTGGAATTATTTACAATCGAAATAATGGTTTTCAAAAGAACTTTTCTACATCACCGAGAAATGCAGCGAGATCGGCAGATTTGACGAGATATCAAAAATTCCGCAAAGTTATTAGCACATTTGTGGCTGGAAGTAAACATCTAGGGAAAGATGTAAAAGTGATGTTTCAGATACAGCGAAAATTAAAGAGTAATAATTACAACTGGGAGATCTTGAAAACAGAGGAAATATTACATCTACATCAGGTGAGAATGGTAAATTTGAAAGAGCTTTTCTTTTGCGAGATAAGTCCTATGAAAAGTACTGGTACATGTCTTTGTTGAGGTTACAGTAAGCTTATGCATTTCACAGACAAGAAAAGATCTTTTGAAGAGTTTGCCTGTGGTTGTGGGATTCTTCATTCCATTCTTGGGTTATGCAGTTCCATTTGTAGCGTAAGTGTTTCAACAATTAAATCATTGTATAGATTGCAATGTACAAAATTGCTGTTTTTAAATTTAGTTATTGTTATTGGATTAGGAAAGATTATAGCCCCATACTATTTTAAAGCAAAGCTATTGTCCCAAATACAATCTGTCACTTTTGCAATTGTCTTCTTTAGTCAAGAACTGTATGCATAATGAAGTATGGGGCTGTGTGGAAATCTTTTTTTGCTTAACACTCCTAAGTCCATTCCATATCATAGTCATATTCACTTTTCTGTAAATGAGGTTGAAGCTTCTTCAATAATTGATTTGTGCTTAATTCTGGAAACTTAATCATTCAAAGTCAACTCTCATGTCCATTTTTAACCCTTTAACTCCCAGATCAAATTTGTAATTCTCCTTACTGTCAACCATACAATTCTTACAATGTTAGTTCAGAGAATTTAGTATTGGATCAACTAATTATCCTCAAGATATTTTTCTTTAATCTCATGACTTACCTGGTTGATATTATATTGATATTGTGAGGAGAAATTCTGTTTTGGTCACTCGTGGAAGTTAAAGGGTTAATAGGATTACAATCAAAAGGATAATATAAATTTAAGTTGTTCTTGTGAAGTGAGAAAGATGAAATGCAAAACAGCAACAGAATTTGAAGCCATGACTAGTAGTAAGGTCCAGAGTAACTGACCCTCACCAACAGGGTAATTTCATATTATCAGCTAAGTTGATAACATAAATTGGCCATTGTAAAGAGTTTCAAAGCTGATGTTTCAAGCGTTAGCTCCTTGTAAGAGTGATGTCAAAGGGCCATCGCTTAAAATGTCAGCTTTGAAACTCTACAGTGGCCAATTTACATTATCAACTCAGTTTAAATACTAAAGTATGCTGTTAGACTCTCCCTCCAATACAGCACCACAGTTTCTTTAGAATCTTACCCCCTTTCTTCAATTGACTCTCAGCAATCTTTACCTAACTTTCAGATTCCTTTATCCAAAACAACTGTTATCTCATCATTATTGGCAACCTCACCAACGTGAAAAATTTGCTCAGCAAGATGTAAGAAGACGACGAAAACATCAACTTCCTCTTGTAAGAGAAGTTGGAAGATTGGCCTTAAGATACAAAGCAAGCAGATATTCTACAGACCTGATGTCTACCTCAGTTAAGGTATGGGAAAGGCTGAATTAACAAATAGATTCTATGTTGACTAGGGTCTGTTCAGTTTAGATCACAAATGATGTTAAAATGTGGTGCGAACAAAAATAGTGGCACACGTAGCGCAGCCTAAGGATATAACACAATGATCAAGCTCTGTCTTGGCCCAGACCTCTCACCTTTGGGTCCAGCACACTAACTGTAAGGCCAGTCTGCCTCTCTTGCTTTTTTTCTTAAAATACCATTTATTTTTTATAAAGCATCTCAGAGGGCCAGGGTCTCAAATTCTTGAATCTGATGAGCTCATTGCTTGTTCATAACCAGTACAGCTTTTTACAATACAAACCATAGTCCAGAATTTTATCTGCACCAAGTACAAAAAGTGGAAAAAAGCAAACCAGCAGAATAAAATAGATATCTAGTTATTACTGGACAGGGTTGGTCCACTTGAAAAAAAACAAGCAGAGGGTCATTCTCAAGACCTTGGGACCAGTAACTAATTTTATCACTCAAGGATGAGTGACTCACTGCACTTGTTTATATTAGGCTGTAAACAAAAAGCATTTGTCCAATGAGGAGCTGTTGCAAATGGCTGAATTCTTTGAAGGGAATCTTCTTGGCTTTGATCACTTACCACACTACCATCTGGTGAGCAAATGAATTTCTTGTTCATTCTTTCCCTCATGCATGGTAAAAGTTTTAATTAGCAAATCTTTTGGATCAAGGGAAAATTTAAGAGAACAGCTGTCTACAAGGTAGCAATAGCTATGATTGTAATAATCATTTTTAAGGGAGGTAGAAAGTAGTTGGGGCTGGATGAGAAGAAGCCACAGAAGAAAACATATCATTCTCGCCTTTATTGTTTGATTTAAAATAAGATTTTTGATCTCTCCTTCAGATGCAAATCACAGGTTTCATTTCTGGTGTCAAATTATTTTATATGTTCATCTGTGTGTTTTTCCATTCCACAGAAAAAACTTAGCCAAGTGTGGTTAATCACTCCTTGGCTACCCAAGTCATTTTTGCGTATTCGCTTAAAGCGTTTGGTAAAATCAATTAAGAGGGAAGATGCTGCTATAAAGAAAGAGGGACTTGTGAATCTCCAAGAACATCAACTGAAAGTGGTGAGAGAGATTTCTGATTTAAGGATCATTCCTAGTTCCTCACCCTCTCTTAGGCCCAGTTTAGATTTTATTTATTTTTTTTGTTGGTTGTTGGGAGGTGGGGAAAAACAACAAAATAGAAACATAATTATTTAACATTAATGTTGGCCTGGAGGCAAACATAACTGGTGGTCTAACTCCTCATTTTCTTACTCATTTCCAGGTGTGTCACTCTAGAGGTCTGGACACAACTGATGTTGACCCAGAGGCACTGGTACAGTGGTTAGCAGAGTGGGTGGAGTTGTCTGATGCTGCAGGAGGTAATATTTGAATTACAGACTGAAAAATTGATTTCATGAACTGGATGTTTTTAGGCATTCACATGTGAACCTTAAAGGCTGAGACACAACAGAACTCAGTGAAAATGTCTATTGAATTTGCTACTCCCTAATCAAGTCACTGCAGCATGATTAATAGCTCAAACTCTACCCACTTTCAATTGAATATACGAGAATTAATGTGGGGGAAAAATTGTGTCAACCCTGAATGACTTTTGCAAACTGAGGCAGAAGCATTGAAAGTGAAAAACTAGCCCCTTAAAAGTATTACTTGTTACTCAAAAGAAAAAAATCCTTTGAATTGACTGATTTTCTTTTTAACAACCAGGATTCACAAACTACAATTTGGCTTTGTTTGATGTTTTCTTTGTATCTATTTTTTCCATTAATTGTAATTATAGTAATGTAACTGTTTTGTGTACACATTCTCTCTTTCTCTTTACAGACACAGATGAATCTTTCTTGGCTCATTGTGCTGTTTTTAAGGCCATGAATTATTCAAAGGACAGAAAAACTGGAGATCAAGATTTGGTTGTGCAAAAAGGGTGATGCTGAAGATGTTTAGTCTTCCTGGAAAATATAGAATATTTATATAGAAAAAACCTTACGACTTGTTAACAGCACAATTTTATTTTCTTTAGTAAAGGGTGAGCACAAATTCACATAACATAAAACAATTTATAATTAGCCTTCACTGAATTATTACGGTAAGTAATACTTAAACATTTGTGTTATTTCTGGATGTTATTAATTTTTGTAAATTTTTTAACTTCCTGACAATTTTTCCTCAACAAAAATGAAGGGTATAATATGGTCATGTAAATTGTTCAAAGAATGTAGTTTCCTTACAATAAAACTTTTGTTACAATATCAGTGTGAATTGTTTATTTTACCCTGATTTTGCCCCATACAAGACGCAAGTCTTTCAAAACCCAGCTCTATAGGGGGACCGAGGCAGTGCTGTTACATTTAAACATACAAAGGAAACAGGAAAAGGCAGCATCTCCACATACAGTTGCATACAGTTCTTGGGTAAAGAAAGCTATAACAAAAACAGTAGATTTCTTTTGGGACTACATCGTTGTCTTCGAGTAGTATGGGGTTGTGCAGGAAAGTCAGCTACCCTTATTTCTTAATGAGATTTATAAGATATAATCATTTAGAGCACAGACTCTTTACGTAATAGCTGTTTCGACAGCTAATTTCATTAGGTGCCGCACCGGAAGTGTGACGTACCGAAAGTGTTTGCCACCCGAAAGTCTTTGCGATTCAAACACTTCCGTTTCTGGTTTGTGAGGAATGGTAAATTCTACATCCACTGTAGAGGGTGTGAGTCCTATTTGCATGATCAAACTCTCCCCCCATTTAGGACAAAGGCTTTGTATTTCTCGAAAATACCTTTTAATCTTCTAACCTCCATTCCCGTGATTCCTTGTAATTCCGCTAACATGTTTTGTCACAGAAACCTTCAAGACAAATGTCGGACGAATTGTGGATTGCATGTGGATCAAAGTTGACTGGCAAGCTTGCTTTAAGAGTATATTTAACTGGTGTGATGCCTGGGTTAGAGACTCCAGTACATTTCGCTGAAACAGCGGCAGATTGCTACGTTGATAATAGCGGAGCTCGCAGAGCGTAGCCCCATAATTATACAAAATAGTAGTAACCCATCAAGCCGAAAAAATTTGGATGTACGACCGCACGACAGTACAAGGTGCTACTTTTTAACATGCGTGGTCAACTGTACCGCGGGCACGCTACAATCAACTGAGAACTTTATCGCAGAAATTGTGATGCAAAACATCGAGGAACGTGCCCTTGCAACTTGCCGACAAACCATACCGCTTTGGTTACGCTACGTTGACGACACATTTACCGCTGTACACAAAGACGAAATTGACGCTTTTCACAATCACCTTAACACGCGACTAACTGAACACAAACGAGCAACTAGAAATGGCGATGTAAACAATCATATTTCTGAACATCACCGACAAACTAATCACAGAATCGACTGGGACTCTGCTAAATGCTTAACCTACAGTACAAACTATTTTCAACGACTGACTCTGGAAAGCTGGTTCACTAACTTAGAACAGACGCCTCTCAACAGATGTCAACAATTACCAGCACCTTACAAACGACTCATTAACGACGTGAACGAACCGACAAACAGACCGACAAACAACAGACAGATCGAAACCGACCAATGACTGTTAACAAACTCTACACGAGTCTTCCAGCCAATCACATCACGGCTAAACAGACCAATCACGTTCAACAGACCAGACTTTATAACATCATCGACTGACAACTACTCCTCACTTGACTCTGAAGATGACTATCGCACAGATAGTCGAAACGTCAGTCACCAACAACAGTTCTTTTCAGAACTACACTCACCCGGACGATCACACTACACGAACTACTGATACTCCTGGGTTCAAACCATTTACTTTAAGACTATCTGTAAAACAGTCATGGTGCTTAGAAAGTTTGATCGAATTCTCAGTCCAAGGTTTATTTTAAGTTAAATGCAATTTTCAAGTATTTAAAAAGGTAATCTAAAACAACTTCCGGTTGCCTCCTTCAGGAAGGAAGGAGGAGGGGGGAGGTGGGAGTGGGTGCGTGCGGGTGTTTCCAGACTCCTCAGGCAAGAAAGAGCGCTTAGATAGGAAGTGGGGAGGCCATTCGGTAACTGATCAATAGTAACACAGAAACGCCATAAGAAGGCTTGGTTGCGATAAAATGGAAGACTTAAACGGATTCCATTTGAGCAGGCCAAAAATCACCGGCTCGACCTTTCCCTTTCAATGTTATATCGGTATCTCGATTTCAACATTATAAATAATAAATAAATATCTAAAAATATAAAAAATGAAACTTTTTTTTTATTGAAACACAGCAGGAACCTCTGGAAAAATGTATGCAATTCGGTAGATGTTTGTTCGCATTAAGCCCAATCCGTTAAATGATCTTAAATCTGCACAGTCCTTGACATGATGCGGAAGAAGGTTCCATGCCAACGCGGCCCTGTGTTTATAAGAGGACCCGCCAATTTCAGATGTTGGTCTTGGCACTTCTATATTTAAAGAACTCCTTAAACTGTACTTGGGTTTTGCCTTAGAAATTAGAATATTTAGTTCCTCTGTATCTGAACCATGATAGGATTGGTAGGTCACAACCAGCAGCCTCTTTACATAATACGAAGAGATGGGATTCCATTGCCTCAATTTCTTGATCTCATCAGTTGGAGTGGTCATAGGTAGCTTGTAGACAATCTATAATGCTCTCATATGAATAAGTTCAATATCCTCCATAAGTGCCGAGGAAACAGAGCCCCAAACAACAATATTATACACAACACTAGGAATAATTGAGTTGAAATAGATAGATTCCAAAATGGAATGAGATAGGAATTTAATTCGGTTTAGAACAGCCAATTTCTTGTTAAACAATTTACAAATATTCCTAATATGATCCTGCCAAGATAAACTATTGTCAATAGTTAAGCCAAGACATTTAGATGAAGACTTGAGCAAGATGGTCTTGGTGCCGTATGCTAAAGCTGGTAGGGGGCCTATAAAGTTTGATCTAAATATTATCATTGCTTCAGTCTTTGACTCATGAGCAATTAGTCTGATGGCTATGCACCATGTGTGCAGCTGAAATAAAATTTGTTGAAGTGAAGAGATGATCATGTCTGTATCCTTACCAATGGCAAAAACCGTGGTTTCGTCAGCGAAGATCACCACAAGATATAGATTCGGGCAGATCATTAACATATATTGAGAACAATCTCAGTCCCAGAATGGACCCTTGTGGTACTCCATACTTCACAGATTAAAGAGCAGACTTTTTTCCGGAAATTTGAACAAACTGGTTCCGGTTAGACAGGTAGTTTGCAAACCAAGAGAAGAGAGAGCCCGATATTCCAGTGGCCTTCAGTTTCTCTAACAGGATAGAATGGTTAACAAAGTCAAAGGCCTTCCCGAAGTCGACAAAAAGTACTCCCGCTACCAGACCTTGATTCAGAGTTGACTTCCAAGTTTCCGTCATACGACGCAAGAGACCCTCGCTTGAACGATTTTTTCTGAAGCCCCACCGGTTGTGGCTTAACAGGTCGTGGGACTGTAAATGGTTGTTGACAGAATTACACACCACAGCCACAGTATCTTCCCAGGAATGCTAAGTAGAGAAATTGGTCTGTAGTTGTTCACATCACATGGTTTCCCTTTCTTGAACACAGGGGTAACATGAGATAGTTTCCAATTGTCTGGGAATGAAGCACTAGTCAAGCTGTTCTTATAAAGTGGAAGTAAGCTGCAGGCAACTAATTCAGCGGATACAAAGAAAAGGACCCTGGGTGAGACCAAATCTGGACCCGTAGCCTTCTTAGGGTTTGATGCCTTCTGGATATTTTTCATGACAAGCTCCCAATTTATATCTGTGCAATCTTTAGTGGGAGTAATCCCTGTAACAAAGGTAGATATGGTTGACTTGTCTAGAGGATTTAACTGTGTTGTGAGGTTTTCAGTGACATTAATGAAAAAATCATTGAGATGCTCTGCTTTCATTAAATCATCAGTTATTAGGTTGTTGTTGTTGTCGTTGTTGTTGTTGCAATCCATAACTGGGCCAAAGTTGCTAACTTTGTTTTTCCTTAGCACCTGGTTTGTCAGCTTCCAAAATTCTTTAGGATTGGTTGATTTGTTAAATTGATCATTCCAATAAGCCGCTTCGGCCCTCTTTCACGGATTTTTTTAATCTCATTTTTTTTTTCTATATTGGCTCCATTTCACTGGATCTCCAGAGGCTTCGGCCTCGTTCAAGAGTTTAAATCTTTCGTTCATTCCTTTCCTAATGGAAGAATCAGTCCACGGGAGGGATTTAGATCTGATCTTTGCTTTCCTGGATGGTAAATGGTGATCTATAATGTCATTGTATGAGTAGTTCCAGGTGAAGTGACAATCATCGATATCATCAAACAGACTCACAAGATGCCAAGGAGCATGCTCAAAATCTGTCTTAAGTTGCTTTTTTCCACTTGTTTATATTTCTTTGTCGAAATCACCAGTGGCTTGGGATTAATTCTAGCCCCTTTAAAAACAGAAAAAATCAAATGGTGGTCAGATATTCCCAAGGCACTGGAACCAGACGTTTGAACTTTCGCTGACTGACTTGTTACAATGAGATCAATGAGAGATTTCGAATCAGATGTTATGCGTGTAGGGCTGTTAATGATGTTCTTCAGACCGTAACTGCACAAAATCCTTCTGAAACGTCTTCCGAAATGAGACTCATTTGACTCTAGGCGGGGAGTCATGTCACAGTTAAAGTCACCCACTAGGATAATATTTTTCCTTTTCATCCAAATCTCAGTGATTCGATTTCTGAAAACATCGAAGAAGGAACAGTCACTTGGAGGTCTATAAATACAGCCAACCAGAAAAGACTGTGATCTCACGGTAACATTTAACCCAGTAGCTTCCAAGTTAGGGTGGTCCCATGTGGTAACTTGATGAGCAAGAACACTTTCTTTGTAATAAGACCAAATTTTGTTACGCTCTCATTTAGGTGGGTCTCCGTAATCAGCCAAGAACATCAAAATTGGTAACCTCCAATAATAGTTAGACCTCCAGAAGTTTGTTAACCAGGCCATTGATGTTTGAGTGGCCGATTTTAAGATTCTTATCTCCCACCAATTGTCGAAGGGAACGCAATGGATCTACAGACTTCTGGATGTTAACGCTTGCAGATTCGTTGGTAGCGGGAACATGGAGGCGAGAATCGTTGAGAGTTAGCCCTATCTTGAG